TATTAGACAGGTATTAACGATTTCTTCTTCTTCTTCCTTATCTTCTATCCTCCTCAGTTCATCTTCCTCACTTCCTCCTCCTTACTTCCTCTTCTTCCTCCTCATTTTCTCTCGTCCTCCTCTTCACCTATTCTTCCTCCTTCTCCTCTATTTACTCTACCACTTCCTCTTCCTCCTCCTACCACTACTCTTCATAAGACAGACAGAGAGAATTATATCATTAGTAATAACCTAAACACCGCGTGGGTTAAATTGTGGCGGAAATTGGGAACGTGGGCACAAAAACACTAGCAGGGGACCCGGTGTGAGAGAGAGAGAGAGAGAGAGATCAAGGAATAATTATACTACCTTACATACAATAACATACACGGCAGTTAACAAGTAGCAATTATAATAATAAATAATAATAAAATAATAATAAAATACTACTACTACTACTACTACTACTAATAATAATAATATCAGTTGATCAATTTAAAAGGCTTGGTAGGTCACTGTTAAAATCACACGAGTTGTTTACATATTTACACAGACTCCCACGACCAGCACGAGGGAGCTCCATGGTCCCCGGTCACCAAACTCGCTTCTCCTTAACTATTTCCATTAGTTATCGGTCCTGGAGCGATGAAGAGGGAACTATTACCCATTTAAAAATAAGGATATGTGACTAGAAGAAAAAGTGTCAAGGAGAATGGATGGCTAGCAGGATGGGTGGTTGGGAGGATGGATGGCTAAGGGAAAAGGGTTGTTAAGAGAATGGATGACTGGAAAGATAGTTAGCTAGCAGAACGAGTAGTTATGAGGATAATTAGCTACTGGAAACAAAATAACTGAGGGTGCAGATCGTCGAATAAGAAAGGAACTAAATTCGCACCTATCTAACAAAATAAAAACACTACAATCACTCATCTTTCTAATACTTCACAGTAACCCGAACACCCAGAGAGTTTTGGTGGGAAACGGATACAACAACACCCGGATCTGAATCTCGAATTTTTGCATCCATATTTAGGTTAAGACCCTTGCTTGAGCAGCCTGACCTCTTGTTGACCCACTCAGCCCCGTAGTTGTGCTTGTGTGTAGTGTGTGGGCGACTGCTGAAAACTCCCGATTTCACCACAAATTTAGTATAATAATAAAAAAAAAATAATTGGCTTTAAATTGAATTACTGTATTCTATTTTTTTTTTTTTTTAGTTCGTAGTTATTTTAATTTTAGTTATTATTTAATTTTATATTCTTATGATTGGCTTGTTTTGTTTTTTAAGTACAGGAACGTTGACATGATTGAAATAATGTTGACATAGTTATTTTCAGTCATTTTAAATTCTTATTTTTACTGTAATCACAATTTAATTTAATGTTTTTGTATTAGCATTTAAGTCTGTTTAACATTTAATACTCACTCTCCTTACAAGTGAAATAATACACCAATTTCTACTGTTAAATAATAATAATAATAATAATAATAATTGACCCAGTGTGATGGCGAGGGGAGGATACACTATATTGCATGATGGGGGAGGGCAGGATAGTCCCAGATAGACGTGGTAGGTGAATTCGTGCCGGGGTTAAGATCAGCTGGCTAAAAAAGTTACTTCCCAATCGAGGTCGCTGCGCCGGGTTGGACTGGCCTTACCGACCTCTTCTCACTCACACGTACCACACTGTCTTTAACTATATACTGTACTGACTCTGTTTTTTATTGTATTGTTTTTGCCACTTGGTAGTTTTGTTATCTGGTCGCGTAGTCTGTCACTTCTCTGTTACACACTTTTGCTAAGTACTGGGCATTTATGGGCTCTCTGTTACACACTGGTGACAAGTACCTGAACATGTGCCAGTGTTGGTCAAACTCTCACTCGGTCCCGTCACAACATCCTCTGGCAGGTTATTCCAACAGTTCACAAATATTAATCCAAGAAGTTAGATATGTACAGTCGCTTGCACTTATACCTGGTACACTGGCTGGCGCAGTCTGTGAGATGTGGCAACTATGTGGAATCCTTATCTAACATCCTTAGTCTGGCTACTATTGCGAAGTTCCTTAGGGCCATTCCGGGGGGTTTTAATACCATGTAAACAACCACATAGTTGCCACACCTCACAAAACATACCAGTCACTGTACCAGGTGTAAGTGCATCCGACTGTGTACATCCCACAGACCAAATGCCCTATATATAGTTGTTTATAAATGTCTACAAAATCGCTCCCTTCACCTTTTGTACTAAATGGTCAATGTCGTCTGGATATCTCCCTCTTTCTGTCTGTCTGAACTTTCTAGTCTCTCTTGATAGTGAGGTTAGTGCTGGCTGACACATTTAGTGGACCTTCCTCTGGATTATTTCAACTCTGGTGTATCTCAGAGACCAGACAGTCACAGTTATCCAAATATGGCAATTATGTCTTACTGAAGCCTACAGACAAAAACTCTCGCTGGTATTCCTACACAAGGTTAATCTATTGTAACTGGTCTCTCGTGGCACTTTACACACTAGGTTAGTCAAGTTCACTGGCCTGTAGTTATTCATGCAGGGGCAGTCTCTTATTTATGCTCTTTTCCAGTCCTCAGGAATCTTTCGTCGTCCACACTGCTGCAGAAGATGATACTAAGAGGCACCCACCCAACTCTCTGAGACGCACATTATCAGGGTCTAGAACTGCAATGAACCTTGACCTTTGATGATTTAGTTCTAATGCACCGAGATAGTTAATAGTGAAGGAAACACAGGGTCAGAGAGACAACTTTACTCTTGATGTTTTGCTTCGAATACCCACAAGGTATAGCGATAAGGTGTTTAATCATGTGAAATAAAGGTAGAGTGAGGTGAGGTTAAACTTCAATATGACCTCAGTGGTCTTACAAGTATGAACAATCGTCTCCCTAAATATGGTGTCCAGTTTTTTTTTTTCCTATCACACCGATGACACACTTATTGCGTGGTGATATAAAAAGCTTTTTCTATTACCCATCTTTAAGAGTGAAGTGACATATGATACTTTCCAATCAATGGGAATTTGACATTGTTGTTGGGTTTTTTTTTTAAGATTATTTGTTGAATTGATAATGGATATGACAATTGTTTTCTTTCAAAATTCTTAGGTTGCGGTGAGCAGGTTGGGGGTGAGGGGGAGGAGGGAGGGAGAGGGGGGGGGGGGGGGAGGGGGGAGGAACTAACACGCTACAACATTCCTATTCTTTTATGTTTAAACCTGGGATGCCCACAGGTCGCCATTTCTTTCCTCCCCCTCTCCCCACCACACCACCCCTCCTCTCCTCCCTCTCCCCACCACACCACCCCTCCTCTCCCGCTTCCTACCACTCCTTCCCTCCCTCACCTTGTCACCTCTCTAATCTACTCCTCCCTCTCCCACCTCACTCACCCATTCCACACCACATCCATTTGTCCTTTGCAAGTCTCACACACACGCACACACACACACACACATTGTACATGGATGGTATGAAAAAAAAAAGAGTTTACTGCTGCTGTCAATAACATAAATTTCCTCTTGTTTAAAAGGTCACTAACACATCTCTCTCTCTCTCTCTCTCTCTCTCTCTCTCTCTCTCTCTTGTACTGTTCAACACACTTACAGGTCCACGTTAAAAAAATTATAAGTGCTATCTGGATCTGTCTGTCTGTCTGCCTGTCTCTATCTATCTGCCTGTCTGTCTCATTTCCTCTCTTTATCTCCGTGTGTCCCTCTTTCTCTCTCACTCTCTCTCATTTACCTCCATTCGTCACACTGACACGGGCCGACACATGAAGAGGGTCACCATTGCATTTTAATTCTATCCATGACTCTACACATCCCATTGAAGTCCCCAGTGCTAGCTCGAGCATGGTAAACCCTGTAGCGGCCTGTGCATTTTACCCCCCATCACAACCCACCTCACCCTGCCTCACCCCACCCCACCCTGCCTCACCCCACCCCACCCTGCCTCACCCCTGCCTCACCCCACCCCACCCTGCCTCACCCCACCCTAACCCACCAACTCCACCCCACCTCACCCACCCCCGCTGCTATACATATACGGTGAGCGAGTCATACCTAACCGAGCTTTCCAATAATTTCTTTTCTTTTTTTCTATGTTATTGTTTATTAAATATGTATACACTTACTCTTTATATATTTTGACTTAATATTAACTTTAAAAAACAATTAATATAGTTAGGTTAGGTTAGGTTAGATTAGGTCAGGTGAGATTAGGTCAGGTCAGGTTAGGTCGCGTGGAAGAACTTGTTTGTAATTTGATAATTGTTTTCTTGATATTATTGCAGTGTTGGCCGCGCGTGTGTGTGTGTGTGTGTGTGTGTGTGTGTGTGTGTGTGTGTGTGTGTGTGTGTGTGTGTGTGTGTGCGCGCTAGGGGAGGTTATTGCTGTGTGTGTGTGGTAATGGTGAGTGTGATACAACCTAACCTAACCTTAACCTAACACTAACCTAACCTTAACCTAACACTAACCTAACCTAACACTAACCTAACCTTAACCTAACACTAACCTTAACCTAACACTAACCTAACCTAACACTAACCTAACCTTAACCTAACACTAAACCTTAACCTAACACCACAACACTAACCTTAACCTAACACTAACCTAACACTAACCTAACACTAACCTAACCAACCTTAACCTAACACTAACCTAACCTTAACCTAACACTAACCTTAACCTAACACTAACCTAACCTTAACCTAACACTAACCTAACCTTAACCTAACAAACCAAACACTAACCTTAACCTTAACCTAACACTAACCTTAACCTAACACTAACCTAACCTAACCTTAACCTAACACTAACCTAACACTAACCTAACCTAACACTAACCTAACCTTAACCTAACACTAACCTAACCTAACCTCCTGGCGATGGTAGGGGTCGTACCTATAACCTTAACCATAGTAGGGGGTCGTACCTAAAACCATACTGGGGATCGTACCTATAACCATACTGGGGATCGTACCTATAACCATACTGGGGGGTCGTACCTGTAATCTTAGCCATGGTGTAGGCCTGTAGGGGGGAGAGGGGGTCGTGTAGGAAGAGCGGAGTCCGTCTAGCGTGGCTGTAGCACTGACCACTACTAACCACACACTGACTAGCCTCTTCTATTTCTCCCCACAGGTGCTCCACTTACGTCCCTCGCCCCGCCCCCACCCTACCCTCAGCCCCCCCTGCCCCCTCCCCCATCCACTCCCCCCTTGTCCACCCCCGCCTTCATCTCTTCCTGACGTAATCATAGGTAATTAGATAGCATTAGTGAGGTCATAATAGAGTGTGTGGACAAGAATGGGTCTTTTGAAGAACTGTTTTGATTGATAAAATGTAGTGTGTGAACTCGCTAGCTACTTAACCTCCCAATTTAGCCCACAACAACCAACCAAGTCTTCCTCCCTCCCACTTGCATATACCTGCCTCGTTACACACACACACACACCTATCATACACCTGCCTCGTTACACACACACACACACCTACCATACACCTGCCTCGTTACACACACACACACCTACCATACACCTGCCTCGTTACACACACACACCTTACACCTGCCTCGTTACACACACACACCTACCATACACCTGCCTCGTTACACACACACACACCTACCATACACCTGTCTTGTTACACACACACACACACACCTACCATATCTGGTTTCACCCACTGTGTAACGCCTGACTGCGCCTACTGTTATATTGTTTGTACACCTGCCTGTGTATACATTGTACACCTACACTGTGTATGTACTGTACAGTATATACTTGCACCGTCTGTGTATAATGTCTGATTATCTGAGCTGTCTACGTTCATTGTCTATATATTTGCACTGTCTATATATGGTAAAGTACAGTACCTTCAGTGTCTACGTACAGTGTTTGTATACCTTCAGTGTCTACTTACATTGTTTGTATACCTTCAGTGTCTACGTACAGTGTTTGTATACCTTCAGTGTCTACGTACAGTGTTTGTATACCTTCAGTGTCTACGTAGTGTTTGTATACCTTCAGTGTCTACGTACAGTGTTTGTATACCTTCAGTGTCTACGTACAGTGTTTGTGTACCTTCAGTGTCTACGTACAGTGTTTGTATACCTTCAGTGTCTACGTACAGTGTTTGTATACCTTCAGTGTCTACGTACAGTGTTTGTATACCTTCAGTGTCTACGTACAGTGTTTGTATACCTTCAGTGTCTACGTACAGTGTTTGTATACCTTCAGTGTCTACGTACAGTGTTTGTATATCTTCAGTGTCTACGTACAGTGTTTGTATACCTTCAGTGTCTACGTACAGTGTTTGTATACCTTCAGTGTCTACGTACAGTGTTTGTATACCTGCACCGAATTCACTGAATCAATGTAAACTGGTATGACTGTTTTACTGAATATTTATCTATTTATTTAGTTTTCACTTCATCCATATTTCAAATTATGTTTATATTAAGTAATTCAAACCATTCACCTGTTTTAATAATTCACATAACCTTGGATAACTAACTCCTTGACTTTTTCTATAGCCCCCCCCTCCGAGAACCTGTACCCACTCTCCGTTTTCTGTCATCTATCGTAGTTTTTTATAAAAGAAAATGGCTGTTTGACCACATTACGTTCCGTGTATTTAGATATTCAACGAATTTTCACCACACAAATGCAATTTTTTTTTTAAGTTACGATTTCAAGTTTTATCACGTGATTTTCGTTGTATTTGGGAATTATTATTTGTGTGTCCAACTGTATGAACAAATTACTGTTTAGATTCGTACTCTCTGGGGTCACTGAGAATTAAGTAAATACAACAGTACTTTAAACGAAATATTATGAAATAGAACTGATACTTTAAAAAATATATCTTGTTTCCAAATAAAAAGACAAACTAAGCAGACCTATTACTTGTGTGGTGACAGTTAAGTAAGTCTTATATCGTTATGATACTGTAGAGGGCAAATAATAGTTCTTAGTTGTAATACGTGTTAGATTAATACGCTATAGGATACTCGTCTGACCTTCACGCAGCCCACAGCAGCGTTCACCAGTCCTTCACAAGGTGTTGTCAACTCATAACTTTCCAGAGACTATCAGCTGAAATACTCTAGATAAATATAATATCTCGCCGAAAACTTTCCCGTGAATGTCTAAAACTATCTCAAACTATTGTATGTCTTTAGTCCTTATTGGGGGAGTAGAATGACACAATAATCTCCGAGACTCGGGCAAAAAACTGAATGAAAATCGTAATTGGGCCCATTGAGTTAGAATGATGGTGCGTCTTGGTGAGTGAGTGAGGCAGGGAGGGAGGGTAGTACTACCAAGCCAGGCCAGGCAGCAGTGTGGTGTATATTGTGCGCGTGATACCATGACTTACTTTAGCTACATGTGAGTGTCTCCTGTATGCCCCAAGATGGCTAGTGTTATGGAGGAATTGGAAATTAAGGAACCGACGCCAAGTCTCGCGCCCAGTCAATACGAGGTACAGTAGGAATTATTTAAAAACGGCACACTTTAATTATTGACTGTACTGTATGAAGTTTTCCTCATTGTCAATGTGTTTATGTGTGTGCCTATATATACATGTATATATATGCATATACATGTGTATATATGTCTATGTATGTTATATATTGTATATTACAATATATCTTAAGTGTATATGACAGGCGAGTGGCAGTTTATTGTAAGTGTAATACTCGGTGTAAATAACGGTATTGTGCAGTGTCTATAATTAAGGTTACTTCCTGAAAGCATATAACACATAAATTTAATTTGTCTCCGCGATTGCATTATGTTAACACGTGAAGTACTATATGTATGCGTGTGTGTTAGTGTATAACACGTGTACAGTGAACCGTACAGATGCTGACACATGTGCTGGTATACGTGACACCTGCCCTCATGGCCACTACTGGAACAGATGTTGGCCACCACCACCACGCTATGTAAGCCACAATAAGCCAATGAATGAATCAATTGAAATGTTTTAATATTTCTATGGCAATGGCAAGTGGGGATGTTGATGCTAGTCTTCATATAGAGGATGTTGTAGTGTAGTGTTCCCAATGAAGACAAGGCAAATCCCACTGTCGACAACTTCAGAATGAACAAAAAAAAAACTTGTGGTGAGTCGGAGGGGTCAGTTGCCAGTTAGTTGCGTTCTTATAATCCTTCCAAGAAACTGCAGTTCTTCCCCGGGGTTATTTTACTCTCATTTTTGTGAATTTTATTACGTAAGGACCTGAATGTTGATGTAAATAAGACCTGTTTGTATAATGTTTTCACTGTTAAAAGTTAATGAATCTGTTTCGGGATATGTGGGGGAAGCTTTTGTCAAGATAAGGGAGCGAGCGTAGGTCAAGGTATGGAAGTTGCCCAATATTAAAAGTATCAGCATGTGTGTGTGTGTGTGTTCATGCATATCTGGATCACTATGCAAACTTATACCTGAATATACGAATTAAAATATAAGTAATGAATGATTCAGTGTATATTTTGTATTTTGTATAGTACGGTATAAACTAGTGTAGACTATGAATGGGTGTACTCGCCTGTGTGTGTGTGTGTGTGTTTAGTTCGGATGGTTTGTATGAATATTTTATACAAGGATGTTGGTCTAGACTTGAACTGACTTATTCTTCTATCCATCGCTCTCAAATTTCACTCGTTGGTTTAAAATAATCCTTAAATGGTGATAATGCGGTGAAAGGGGAAGGGCGATATAAGCACGAGTGTAAACGGTGTTGGAAATGAAAGTGAAATTCGCCGTTAGGGTTTGCACTACGCTACGATCATGTCAATACAACTCGGGGTGTGGCGTACGGTATAAGACAGATAGAAATATATTTGGAAAATCGTCAAACAAATTCACTAAAAACTACAAGTGTACAGTAAAAATAGGGGAATTTTCTCTGGATTTTAGATAAGAGAATAACTGACAACGAGAGCCACATTGACTGAGAACAGTATCGTGTTCCCTGGAGAGGTAGGCGAGGGGACAGGATTTTTGTTGGCGCGTGTACGTAATGTTCAAGACGGTGACGGTCGGATTACTTCAAGATAAGCCCCCAAGTTTACAATATTTCACCTGATGGGAGGGGGAGGTTAAGTTATATATCTTATTTACTTAATGGCCACCCAAACTAGAGGTGACCATGCGAAGAGAAAGAGGAGGCCAGTGGTCTACCGCCCTCTGTGTGAATAAACATACCCGGTATTCGTCCTGTAAGACACCTTGAAGTTGTGTTGATTCATTGTTGGTGCGCGACATCACTAAAAAACGCCCTGGGTTCACGTTTCCCATCCCTTACAAGTTTTTTATGTCGCTTTGAGATCTGCACAACCATGGCTTGCTTGAAGAATTGTGTTAGTCGTAAGGCCTACCTGGATAATCGAGATGATATAGATCAGGAATCATCTTAGTCGCTGTTTAACCTTTTTTTTATGATGTTAAGTCTTTCTGGGGGTAAAGTTTCCATTCCTGTATATAGTAATCCAGAGAGGTACTATCGTGGACAAAAGTTCGCTCCCTGTAGTGAAACTGAGACACGGGAATGAGTCTCCGAACTGACTTACCCTGATTGTTATCTGGTGCGGGTGTGCTGTGCGGGTCGATACTGCTTCAGTTTGGGAAGGAGCGAACTTTTGTCCACGATAGTACGTCCGAAATATTTATAAAGATGAAGAAGCCTGTTTGCTTCTAAAATCTGTGAATAAGTGTTGTCCATATTGTTATTTTTTCCTGATAGACGAGTCTGTGCATCCACTTGGGTCGTAAATTTTCGATCTTGTTCTAAATCTTTATGTATTATTGTCATTAGAGCTTTGTTGGAGACGTCAAGATCACATAGTCAACTCTCTTTAAGTGGCAGCTTGGCATGTGTCGTTTATCGGTTCAATTGAATTAACTTCAACTTGATTCCCTCCCTCAAGTACGCAGATGTCCTATTGTGGTCTGTCTGGCTTCACACACACACACACACACACACACACACACACACACACACACACCACCATCCCACATACCGGTAGAAATTATAATGAAACATAAGAAAATAAGGAGTCTGCAATAGGCCGGTTGGACTGTGCATGGCAGCTCCTGTCAAGAGTTACTACCACTCTCTATCATCCATGAATCTATCTAGCCTCCTTTTAAAACTTTCCAGCGTTCCAGCACTTACTACAAAGTTGCTAAGCTTGTTCCACTCGTCCACCACCCTATTTGTGAACCAGTTCCTTCCTATCTCCCTCCTAAACCTAACCTTATCCAACTTAAATCCGTTGCTCCGAGTCCTATCCTGCTCGGATATTATAAGAACTTTATCTATATCCCCTTTATTGATTCCTTTCACCCACTTAAATACTTCTATCATATCTCCCCGCACTCTTCGTCTTTCTAGGGAATGCAAATTTAGTTTCTTTAACCTATCTTGATATGGAAGGTTTCTAAGTCCCAGAATAATTTTCGAGAGATAATGGATGAGATAGTCACGATCATCTTATCTGAGCAAGAGACTTCGACACGAGCACTTAATAGCTGTAAAGATGAAAAAACACCCGAGCTATTACCGTACACCTGGACTAGCGAGCACACTTTCCCGCTCACCAAAACCGTAGGGTGTGTACTATAGACATCTCAGTCACTCAAAAGTACCTTGGGGATGTCGCGTTTAAAAAAAGTGTTATTATGGATGTGTTCAAAAGCTGTAAACGAACCAGTCAATTACATTAAGGGGATTATTGTAATTTGACCCGAGTCTTATTGAGGCAGGATGCGTAATCGTCGTTCCCAGGGTGTGGTGGGAAGGTAGCAACTGGTGTTTCTCAGTTCACACGTTATGCATGGAAGACTATAATGGTATGTCCGTCCGTACATTTATATAGAGACGTGGTTGAAGATCGTCTTGTCACTATCACCTTGTATCTCTTGGATCTCATCTATTAAAGAATTATTATTACTGTACAGTATTACATTTTCAAATAAAGTTATATCGCTTTCTCATTTATTAACACGTGTCTTACTCTTCAAGGTGAGAATATATTACTATCTTGAGCAACGTGTCCGCTTATCCCTCCTGGCTACCTAACCAGCGAGAAGCGGAGCACACAAGGACACGGTGAGGAGGCAAGAAAAAAAAATTCTTTACTTTATTATTATTACATCCTGGATTTGTTGACTGCTTGTTTTGATGTTCAGTGTTATCTTGTATTCCTCGTTAAGTTCTTTATGCGGTATATTAAGCACAAAGATCTTATCAATTAATGAAAGTATTGTTAAAACGTGGTGTGTACAATATAAAATCAACTGAACTTTTAATACTATCTTTACCAAAATTATAAGGTGGCGGATTATAACATCAACATCCAGTTAAACAGGGTTTTTTTTATCTGTGGAAATATACTGCTTGATAAATTAAGTTAAAGCTATTTATTTAACGTTATTGCGTCGTACTTAAGCAAATGTCCGCTACACACCCCTCCCCTGTGTGTGCCGATCACTTTGCATCCACACATAAATATGAGTCTAATATTAATTTAAACATCTTAATGCAAGAAACGGGTCGTCACCTGGAGAATTGTCACCACAGAGTTTGGCAGGATATCCCACCTAAAGAATTGTCACCCTGCCAAATTCTGGGGCGACGATTCTTCAGGTGGACATTCTGAGGTGACGATTCTTCAGGTGGACATTCTGAGGTGACGATTCTTCAGGTGGACATTCTGGGGTGACGATTCTTCAGGTGGACATTCTGAGGTGACGATTCTTAAGGTGGACATTCTGAGGTGACGATTCTAAAGGTGGACATTCTGAGGTGACGATTCTTCAGGTGGACATTCTGGGGTGACGATTCTTCAGGTGGACATTCTGAGGTGACGATTCTTCAGGTGGACATTCTGAGGTGACGATTCTTCAGGTGGACATTCTGGGGTGACGATTCTTCAGGTGATCCCAAGAAACAACTTATGTCACTTTGAGATTAATCACCCAACTTAACCTAATCTTGCAAGTAGCATTAAGGTGTTTAATCATCAGGTGAAATAAACTGCGATCGCCCATGTTTCCTCAAACGATTACCAGAGTCACACACCCCCACCTATATATGTAGTAAATGCTTTTAACACCGTGAAACCTCTGAACCAAGTGAGATGCAGGGCTGCTTGGTGGGTTCTTATATACCTCTCCCCTAGGAAAACATTTAAAAAAATCTCATTAAACATTTAGTGAAGTTTAGAGACATTTGGTACGTAAGTTGTATAGCATCCCTTAAGCAAGCATGTCCAAGCCCCCCCCAGCTTGTTGAACACCTCTAACGCTGCCTGAGAGGGTTTGGTTAGGGTGGTTAATCATCAGGTGCAATAAACTAGGGTGCTAATCTTCAGGTGATATTTGTAGTGATATATTCAGGGGAATGAGGGCTTGATGCACGTATAGAGCTGATGTCTCCTACAGTATCTAATTTGTACATTTTTTTTTCAGAGTCCTCTCTACACGAAGAAATGGAGAATTGTTTTGGCTGTGCTGGTGAGTATGGCTGTGCTGTACTGTGTTGGGTGGCGACTTTAAGTAGGCTAGTACTGCACGTAGCTTCCACGGCGTTGACATACAGTATACAGTACTGGGGTAACACGATGATTAGAGAGTCGGCCGTGTTGGTCACCCAGTGGATGATGGAAGACGACCTACTAGATAAATATATAACGACAACTGGCAAAGATCAGCAACATAGGTATACAATAATAAAAAAAAGCGACAAAGAAGTAAGAAGACAGCCTTTATCGTCACTTGTGAAGATAATTATTACCATGCTTGCCAACCTTTAAGAAACGATACGTGATAGGTCACAGGTCCTGCCAAGCTGCATGGTGGAGGAAGGTGGGAGTCGAGGTTCTTCCTGGGAGAAACAATCGTGAGAGGAAGTGAACTGGATTCCGAACCACATTATTACTCCACCAAAACAACTCACTTCCTGTTATTTTTTTTTCTTATAAATCATAAAATATATACAAGAAAACTAACAAGTCAGCTTCGTTTTCAATTGATTAGTCATGAAAATACCGCGTATCAGTGTTTTATACAGTACGGTACAACGGCTAAATCATTGAGAACTATTGGAACCCCTACAAGACTACACAACGCCTCTCGGTTCTCTACGTCACATAATGGCTTGAAATATTCTGCTGCCAATCCACACAACCACCCTCTACCTTAAATAATTAACAACCATCCCCTCCCTTAAATAATTTACCAACACAAAATAATTTTACTACCTTTTCTCTTAAAACTAACATGGCAAGGACTGATATATGGTTCAGAACTTGAGACCCGCGGACACTTTCAGCAGACACCAGAGAGAGGTTGGAGGTCTTTGGTGTGTGGTGTTATAGGTGAATGTTAAGAATAACTTTGACAGGAAAATATATGAAGAAGTACTTAGGTGAGCAAAAACTTATTGAAATACTTGAAATGTACATAAAAAGAAGAGATACTCTGGTCATATAACTGGGGATGAACTGATAATAACAATTAATGGGTAAAGTTAAGGGTAGGAGGGCCGAATTCAGGGAAAATTTCAAGAAAAAAAAGGCACGGATAGACCTGACCTAACCTACGTGCAATGTCATCATACAGGTATATATATATATATTTTTTTTTTTCCTGTGACTTTAATTCCGTTCACCGGAGGGTCAAGGGAAGGCAGAGATTGGGCTGGATGAATTAAATTAAAAACTGAGTCACCAGCGACACAAAATCTTGTTAGATTGACAAAAACAGCCCGAAAACGGTTAAAGAGGACTGTGGTCGCCAACTTTCAGATATCAGGACAGTACAGATGTTACCCTGACGCACTTCCTGACACTAACTTTGCGTAGGCCTACTCAGTGCACGAGCCGGATCAGAGGTCAGTCATCCACCCTTGAAATCATACAACTCCCATGGTTCCCTGCGGTATGTTTTCACCAACCTCAGTAAAAAGCTCCCTTTAACAGCTGCCACACCACATTAACTTCCACTCCAGGATTTTACGGTTGTGACTGTTCATGTACTGAATCGTCACGCGTAATTTATCTATATATACAAACTGTTACCATAAGGCAAAACGATTAATTGATGAGGTGCAAATAGAGACAGGTAATGCGACTGCATTAGTAGTTGCAATATTATAGATGATGGTAAAAACTGGTCTAACTCCTTTCTTAGGTTCAGACAAGTTCACATTCTCGATGTTTAAACAAGATCTAAAGGCTAGATCTAACATGATATTTTACATCTATTTCCTAACACTAAGTCACTCGAAATTGTGTGTCGTCTGTTAAATGTTGCAGAATGATAGTGAACAGTGTCCTGGAGTTGATCATTATCACACACCGGAAGATTTTACTCTTCAACTTTACTTTTGTATTATAACTTAGAAGTAAGAGTACTTCCCCTGAGTTTATTTAAGTGTGCATATTCAACATTTCTTTGTTATCACGCGCACACACACACATTGGTATTCGGTCAAATTGGCACTCTGTTGTATGCCAAGGTTGTGCGCTTCGGTCCGTTTATTGCACTTATACACACTTAAAACATTTCTCTCCACCATTAAGTGTATACAGTATACATTATTTATTGCGTTATGTTGCCCTTAGTTATAGTACAGTACACTAATACTTACATTCGGTAAACCCCATGCAGTTCTATTTGTTTTCCGCAGATAGGATAAATACTCGAGAAAAATCGTGATATACCTGATGTAGAAATACGCAAATGAAAATAATTGATATCACGGGTACATTTTGTATATATGTATTCAGACTTTTTATTGTGGCAGCGGCCAAGACTTACCAGAAATGAGGTGATGTGGAGTGAAGCTTGCTGGAGGGAGTGAGGCAATCTATCTATGACAACTTTTTATAATCTCAAACCACCTTCACAAACACCAAAGTTTTCACTTGAGAGCCTTCACCATGTTCACGATTTCTATCACCAAATAATCCTTTTCTGAATATTCACTGTTGTTTATAGGCACTCAAGTTCTTTTCTCTATTCTTTACCTCATGCTTTCCATCACGTCACGTCACTACAACAGAAGGTACAAGCCCTAATGTTTCGTCTCAAACACATCAAACTCCACATTCAAGGTAATTAGTATCTGTCCTCTTTTGACACAACTATAGTCACACTTGATTCCCCGTTGTCAGACACAATGAATCACGTTTACTGAGGTAAGAATGTTAAAAAACGGTAATACTATCAAGCACAGTAGAGCACCAATAGTTGACGACACAGCACTGAACTCTGACGCAAAAACGACTCAAAAGAACGGGAAGGAGATTCGATTCGCCTGCAGCAATATGAGGAGCAGGCCAGAGCAAACTACATTATGGTGACTCTTGGGCTAATTGGTCACTAAATGGTCAATTTTACCCTCTATTTATTTTTTTTAGATATTTATAAAAGCCCAGATAATATCAATCAATAGGGACGGCTCCTGAAAAAAAGTGCGGATCACCTGAAGATTATCCCTATATCACCATCAAGTTTACTAACCTAACCTAACTTACCCCAAGTTAATTTCTCCAGGTAACGTTAGGGTGATTATTCATCAGGTAAATATGCTAGTGAGGGGCTAATCTTCAGGTGATCCCGGAAATAAAAAAGAATGCGGATCTCAGATGACCAGCCCGGCCTCGTGCTCTGCTGCCCTCCACCTCTGTATGACTAACTCAAAGATAATTCTGGATTATTCAGATCACGTACAGGTGTAGTGTAAACGAATAATCATACTGACCACGAAACACCGTATATCATAAGTAAAATGATATACAGTAATACTATAGTGAATTATACCAATACATAACCACTGTGACTAGAGATTCCATGCCACCTCATACAAACAGACAAGACACAAAGAATGTCCTTCCTGCTGGCTGACTCGTGCAGTGCGGGGAATAAAAAAAATGCAATAGAAAATGTTAATATCAACCTGAAACACAGTTATACTACCAACACCTATTGTGTCCAGGATGACATGTGTTGCTGGTGTTGTGAAAATTGTATTGGTGTTGTAATAATGTTATGGGAGTTGTAAAAATGTTTTTGGTGTTATGAAAATGTTATTGGTGTAAAATGTTACTGGTGTTGTAATGAGCATGTAGTACTGGTGTTGTAGTGAACAAGTAGTACTGGTGTTGTAGTGAACAAGTAGTACTGGTGTTGTAGTGAACAAGTAGTACTGGTGTTGTAGTGAACAAGTAGTACTGGTGTTGTAGTGAACAAGTAGTACTGGTGTTGTAGTGAACATGTAGTACTGGTGTTGAAGTGAACAAGTAGTACTGGTGTTGTAGAGAACAAGTAGTACTGGTGTTGTAGTGAACAAGTAGTACTGGTGTTGTAGTGAACAAGTAGTACTGGTGTTGTAGTGAACAAGTAGTACTGGTGTTGTAGTGAACAAGTAGTACTGGTGTTGAAGTGAACAAGTAGTACTGGTGTTGTAGTGAACAAGTAGTACTGGTGTTGTAGTGAACAAGTAGTACTGGTGTTGTAGTGAACAAGTAGTACTGGTGTTGAAGTGAACAAGTAGTACTGGTGTTGTAGTGAACAAGTAGTACTGGTGTTGAAGTGAACAAGTAGTACTGGTGTTGTAGTGAACAAGTAGTACTGGTGTTGAAGTGAACAAGTAGTACTGGTGTTGAAGTGAACAAGTAGTACTGGTGTTGTAGTGAACAAGTAGTACTGGTGTTGTAGTGAACAAGTAGTACTGGTGTTGTAGTGAACAAGTAGTACTGGTGTTGTAGTGAACAAGTAGTACTGGTGTTGTAGTATTTTGCCTTTCAGTCTCACACTTTCTTAGTTTATACAATATTCCCAAAAGCTGTAATTTTAAACTTGAATGACTTACATTTGATATACTACAGTAAAAAAATTATTTACCTTATTCCGGTGTTACAGAAGGTGGGTGCCGCCTCAACTTATTTCCGTAACTTCAGATTGGTGTAACGTTGATTGGTGTCTGTATCCTGGGCTTCTACCTCAGTGTCAAGGCGAGAGAGGGTGACAGGACAGCTGCAGCCATCAGTGCTTTCAACGCCTCCACAGCCCCTCCCCCGAGGTCTTCTAACGTCCGCTGGCGTCACAAGTCTAGGGACTGTCTCTCTCTCAGTGATGACCCGTGCCCATCAGGTAGCTATGTCATCACCAGTGTTTCTCATTTTTCCTTGTGATGCTCGTGTGTTTGAGTGATAATGTATATGCACTATAGAGTATAGTGGTACAGTGCCATTTTTGTTTCTATATTTAAAGGTTGTATAGAACTAGCAATGGTTTAGCTGTCATCTTCAACAACATAATTAAGGACAACAAACCTAATCATTGTTCACCAAGTCATAAATTATTGTGTAATATAAGTAATATATATTGAGGCACAGATCTCATTCTACAATACAGAATTTTGAAATATTAAACCCTGGATTTATGGTTGAAAATAATAGATTGTAAGTGCTGTACTGTACAGGCAGGTATGTTAAATAATTAATATCTGCTACAAGAGTACAGGTACTAGGATGATATAATTGACAGTGAACCGTATCTCCACAGACTATGAAGCACATCCTCTCCTAGTGATTGGGATTGATGGCCTGCGACCAGACTCCCTTAGCGATGACATCACCCCCGCCATGAACTATCTGGCCAGGTGTGGTGTAACAGCACAGAGCCTTGTTCCCACCTACCCTACCACCACCTTCCCAAACATGTATTCTATTGCTACGGTAAGGTGATGTGTCCATGTCAAATTTATTATCAACATTTATAGTTTCTCGATAAGTGTTCATTCACGCTGGTCTTTTTTATTGGACTTGGAATATTTAGCATAAACTGGGTGTTCACAATATTTAATCTTCAGCATTACTGGCAGTTTTACATCATATTCTAATTTTATTCTTTGGTTTGAAGGTGAAATATGACATAAGATTCATTACAAGTGTATTTTTTTTTATTGTCTTCTGTGTTCATCTTACCTTCAGGGACTCTACCCAGAAAGTCATGGCATCATCGGTAATGAAATGTATGACCCCATCACCAAAAAAAACTTCAAGCCTACAGAGAGCACTTCCAAGAGCTCAGCCTGGTGGCAGGGAGAACCTATATGGAACACAGCCACTAAACAGGTATGGTCGCTCAGGGTCTCACTTACCGGTACGTATACTGTATCTCAAGACAAATATGGTTGCAGGTGGAGGGGAACTGATTTAATATGTAATATCCCAAAAACAGGAGTAAAGAGCCTCAGATATACCGTACTAAATATAGTACTTGAAAGGGATCAGCCATTATTTCTTTTACTTACTTACAACAAAAGCCACCACAACAATCACCCACTTAAGTAGTAGCTCTATCTTTCAGGGTAAAAAGTCGGCTACCTACTTCTGGGCAGGTTCTGATGTTCTTATACAGCAGAGGTATCCCATCTACTGGCAGAGGTACAAGACTAACGAGACCTTTGAAACACGAGTCACCCAGGTATGTATGTATATACAATATGCATCTATGTGTGGATGTACAGTATTTATGTATGTATGTACTGTAATGTATGTACAATATTTATTTACGTATGTAAACAATATTCTACTAGCACTGCAAATACTGCTTTACCTCACCAGTCGAGAAAATTCTATGCCAGTCTCCGGGTGTGTTCAGGTAGGCTGCGGTCTGGGGACAAATCTTCCCTGTTGATAATGGTAAAGACTCTAAATTAATCTAACCTCTGTCATCTTACAGTAGTGGAAGACACCTAGAAATACGTCCTTATCATCGCACAATTAAGGTTAAAATATAGATGGGGGGGGGGTGTACTGTACAGCCAGCCTTATGTCAAAATCCTGAGGCAAACTGGTTCTTACATAAAGTTGGATTTTGTCATACTGTACTGACCCCTGGCTGTAGGGTTTTAGAACAATGAATCTGTGCATTATACTGGGCTGTTAAAACCAAAAAAAAATTATTCAAAACATAAATTAGGACTGTTTATAATATATCTATGATCGGTTTTCATCTTATACCTAATACTGTATGTGGACATGGGGAAAATATAAACTCAAGCTGGGAGGATCTTTGGGTCTCTTATTTATCAGTTGTCAGCTACTATGTTTTGTTTCGCAGGTGTTGGACTGGTTGACACTGCCAGAAGAGGAACGGCCTCACATCATCATGGTTTACTTTGAGCAGCCGATGTTGGCCATCCAAGAATTCGGACCAAATTCTCCAGAGGTATGGTACGGTATGGAGACCTTTAGAATTAGTGGTCTTATATGATCTAATAATTCTTAAGGTTATGATGTATAATTTGCCAGTACCAGTATATGATTAAAGTTTTGTAGTAACATTCTGGAGCCAGTGCCTGCCCAGTATTCGCCAAAAGTGTGTAACAGAGACGTGACCGACTGCCCAAGTGGCTAAGAGACCAACCAGGGTGAAGAGAATAAAATAAATAGGGTGAAGAAAATATAGTACTGTACTCAAATGTAATATAACAGAATTTATATTTTCATTTGTCCATTTTGTACTGCATACAATATACTGTACCTGGACTATATAAACACAGACTGGTTACATTACTTGAGGTGATGTGTTACAGTGTACCAGAGGGTGATACGAGGTCAATCACTCACCTGTTGTGTCCTCTCCGATTAATTTATAGGCAAGAAATGGTCTGGAAATGGTCGACAAAATGTTGGACGAGATCTTCGGCAGCCTTTATCGTAGAAACTTGACTCACTGCATCAACGTCATCCTTGTATCTGACCACGGAGCCGCCCAAGCTTCCTGCACCTCCTCCTTCTACCTGGAGACTTTCATCTCTGATATTGATGCCAAGGCGCACGTTTATGCTGGTGCTGTTGGAAGATTAAGAGCTGTGAATGGTGGTGAAGGTAAGTTTAGATGACAATTAACTGATTACCTTCTCAAGCAAAATGTAAACAATTTTTTTATTATTGTATATTATTAAATTCTTTTGACCAAACAGAGCAGGAATAATGTATTAAAGGGGCAGTTCAGTCAATGGGATCTACTTTCAATTTCATAATGGTCTTGACTCAAAGGGAAATCTCTCCTATTTCATTATGATACAGATTAAATAAGCAATCTACCCTAAGTTGACAGTGCATGATGTGTGTAGAGTTCTTTCTCCATTTTGCATCTTTATTTTTAAGCCACACTGACAGTAATCCACTTCTGTTAACAAGAATCACCATAAATCTGATCATTCTTACATTCTCTTTATAAATGGCATCACAACATTACCAAAGGGTCATAACTCTTACCCCTAACATGACCAACAAAGGAGATTCTGACAGACTCATATACTTAACTGGGTTTTCAAAATACTGTAATAATTTTTAGTTTATGGTAAACAGTCCTAGTTTGAGAGTAAATTAGAGAATAAGGATCAGGTGAGGGTTTTAATGCACAAATATATAAGTAAATAAGTTTGTGATTATATATTTTGTTATATTTTTTCCCCAGCTGCCGAGGAAGAGATTTTACAGACACTGAGCTGCAAGAATCCCAGGGTCAGAGCACTGCCGAAGAGGTTACTGCCACGTAGGTGAGGGACAAGGTCGTGCTGTAATAACTGTATTCCGTATTTATCTCCTCTAACAAGGAACTATTTATCCCATTAGCCAAATAGCAATTGTCATATTTGCTATTTAAACCCTTCACAATGGGGCGTCACTTTTAATATTTTATTTGGTTAATGTCAGATGATTTGATTCAACACAGAGACCACAGGTACACAAGGGGTTAAACTGTTCATCATGGTGAGTTCAATTATAAAGAAACATAAGACCTAAGATTATAGTTGATTGATATATTTTATAGTTCTTATGGGATAATAAACATGTGAGCATCCTGAAGAAGTAAACTTAATGTTACCTCCTAGTTACGACTGACAACTGGACACAACCCCACAATAAAGGTTCAGTGGAGTACAAGAGTGACAATAACCTTTCACCTGTATCACTCGACCCTAAATATAAAACAACATTAATGTCCCACAATTAATGGTTTTACCTTCTATTTTTTCCTCATTTTTATATTAACTTCAGATTTCTTTTCAAGTTTTCCATTACATTATCCTGCAGGTACCACTACACTAATAACCCAAGAATCGAGAGAGTGATCCTTGATACTAAACCTAATACCCGTGTGGTGACCAACTCCAAAAATTACTGCAAGAATGGGGAACACGGCTTCAATAACCTCGAACCATCTATGCAGGTGAGACTTCCTTAACATTTATTGATTAGTGTCTGAACCGTCACTTGATATAATATTTAAATGGAATATATTATAGACTCGCTTTACCTGTCACCGGTTAACTTAATTAGGCAGTAGGTACAGTATGTTATCAAAATTAATCTCCATGGATTTTACATAACTGATTCTGTTATTTCACTTATCATCCATGACACTGTAACCTTTCAGAGTCAAATTAGTTGTTTTTTTGTAGACTTCAAGATTGTTACAGATGATTGTATACAGCATTCACCTCCTGGCTTATGGTTGCTGATCACACTGCCTCATATGGACTGTCATGCCTATTGAACCCTCTGTTGTAAATAATGTTAATAGTTATATATTTAGTAACCGCTTTAAATTTGAGTTTAAATATTTATTCACGTGTATGGTAACTGAACCATCACTACTGTAAGTTATGTTGATACTCTTGTGTACTTTCAGGCTGCTTTCATAGGTTTTGGTCCTGATTTTAAAGTGAACTATTCCAGTCATAGCTTCAGGAATGTGGAACTATACAATCTTATGTGTAAACTTGTGGACATCACGCCAGCAGAAAATAATGGTGAGAACATCATCTTATAGTGACAGTATAGCACACCATGATCTTAGTCCATTAATACATACTTACTACACTGTACCCAGCTGTGCAAGGGTACAGTACCTGACTTTATATTTGGGGAAATAGAATTGATCTAGTGTGTACTGATTTCATAGTATTCAGTATGCTGTATCCACACTGCCCATAATGGCTCTTCAGGTCCATGGATCTCGGTTTCATTTACACTCTACTTATCTCGTACTATTGTTAATTAAACTATTGAAGCTAGTGACATACAAGGTACTGAAGTTCTTGAAATTAATAGTCATAATGCAAGTTATCATTTTCCTTACTGTATCAAACTGAAATGCTTTGTCTCTTAAATACCTTTAACATGTAAATATGTAACCAGTTTTCAAACAATGTTGCTGATCATAAATGTTATAAATCTTAACATATATTTACTTATTAACTACAGTATTTCATCAGTAGGGTGGTGACAGCCTCTCTTCACGACTTGTAAAGATTTATAAACATGCAGCCTCGGGACTCTTTCCCTTGTTTTGTCCATGTCATCCTGCCTGAATAAGGAAAAATCAATTAGCTCATTGTCATTAACATTACTTGGCTAAAACCAGCTTTTCACTACACATCTCAGGGTTATTGGCTCATCTAGCTCATACCTAACACAAGATATTGCTACTGGGGGACTGTAGGTGCTGCTGACTATAAGCTTATTGTGTATTGATCACCTCATACTCATTTGACTTATCTGAAGAAAATATTAAAAATACCTGTAAGTAATTTCAACCTTAAATGCATTTCAGTTTGAGATATAACATGTAAAGAAAAATATGGAACCAGATAATTAAAGATTTCATAATAAAATGTCATTTTCTCACAGGCACTCAGGGAAGTTTGAACCATTTGCTGCGCCACGCCGTCCCTGTAACACCTTCAGATGCAACGAAAGACTTATTGTTGGAAGAAGTTGAATCACTGCCCGAGAAACTGCCACAGAATAATAAAGGGGACTTGGAGACGAGAGAAGACGGCACTCAAGAGAGATCCTGCAAGTGTTTTGTTGACAAGACTGAAGAAGTTATAGTAAGTAGCGAGATAACTTAATGTCAATAGCGAGATGAATCGATAAATTGCCATTGTTGATATTGAAGTAATTATTGTATATCTTCAACTATGTTTATATCTTCTCTCACACACTCAGCCAGAAGAAACTAGTTTAATTAGTGACCCAGACAACAGCAACATCACTAGTAATGTCTCCGGCGCTAACACGACAGCCACTAATAGTTCAGCTAGTGATGCAAACGATGGCGGTCAAAGCGATATAAACACTAGCGGTCGAAGTGCCATGACTCAAGCCGAACGCTCCCTACTTTTAAACACCCACGCTCCCTGGGGCTCACCGGGGTTCTCTGCCCCCGACGCCATTGAAGGCAAGCTCAAGGTACTTCTGCATACCGGCTACGTCATTGGTTAGTATTGAGGTGACACGAGCCATATATTTTTTTTCTACTGTTGGTGTTATTGATGTGGAGATAATGATAGTATTAATGATAAACGAGGTGATGGTGGGGGTGATAATGCCATAATATCAGATTTCACGCTTCATTTTTCAATTATATACCTCGGCAGATTTTCTCTATTGTACTTCACACACTTTTATCCTTTTTCTCCATAAACATTAATAAAAATTTGTTCTATGTATGTTGATATGAATTACTATGAATCACAACAGGTCTGCATGAAACCCTGAACCTTGGAGTGTGGGTGAGCTTCACTGCCAACAACCAAACCATCATTCAGACAGAAAAGGAAAAACCGTATTTGCCTGAAGGGATAGAAATCAAACCAGAGGTAAGTTTTGAATTGTAACGTTTTCTTCAGTCTCTTAATTTCATCCATAAATATGTGTTTTAATAATAATTAACGTCTCTATCCAGGTCCCTGATTACTGTGAGGTAGATAGATATAATGGTATGGCATAAGAGGAATTTGTCTAGTATTTACACTCTTGAACCAGCAACTGAACACTAGGCCCTCTTGCTGGTGCGATGACCAAGCTAACCCCTACATCACCAGCTGTCATGACTTTGGACTAACGATTTTAATTGATTGGGTTGGATTTATTTAGCTTTGTTAATTCTAAATGGATATTACATATGGAGTTTTATTGCTAAAAAGATAATATGGAGACATAGTAATTGACATATTGCGCTAAATTGACCCAACTCCCATATCCTCCCTCCTGACATGTCCTGAAGCCTACAGGTCACCTCAGTCACCACCATCATGTCTTCCCTTCCTGACCAAATATCCTTCTTCTTATATTATGATGTATACCTCTTGGATTATATTAATATTATACATGGAATAATAGATTGTTTATTTGGTGTATGAAGAACCATTACCTTGTTGAGAGATCTGATGTTTCAATGTACTTATTACTGCACTGAACATTAACATAGTACTATATACAGTAACTTACGTAGTTATTGTATCTGGTTTTCTATGTGACACTGCAGGAAATTCGGGTCATGGATGATAAGCCATTACCATGCTGGGAGGCAGATGTGAGGCTGGAACGACTGCCTCAGGACCAGTGCCAGAGACTGCTGACCACAGAGGAGTACCAGGCTAAAAACATCACACTCATCCAACTCTTCCCTGAAGGTTGGTGACATAATTATTTACTGAATCTTGAAGTATTTGATTTCACTGGAAATGTTCTATGCTTACAGCAGCAGAACATAACCCCAGTTCATCCTTCACTCATTATCAAATGTGACTTCCATTCAATAACCTATAAGAAAGGCTTCACAGATCAAAATTGTAGCTGGGTATTACTGTATATGGATTTATTTCATGAATATCTGAGCCAAGTTAAATAATCAGTTATTTCTAATTTTATTTATCAAAGCATAAGCATCAGTTTGACCTATGAATTCTGAGTTATACATCACTTCCATTAATTTTCTGGTCATGCAGTACAGTAATATGATCTCAAAATCAACTGACAGCTGAAATTTTACAAGCAACCACAAGACCTTAATGGATGTTTCTATGGCGTCTTCTATGATTAAAGTGTACAAATTGTCCTCTTGTCTCCACATCCCCTCAGAAATGGAAACAGAGGAGCTCCTGATGTCAGAAGGTCACCTGCTGTCCAACATGGCGTCAGTCAAGGTTGGCTACAAGGAGGGAGCGTACACAGCCATGATCAAAGCCATAAGGTTCTGGGCCTCTACAAAGGGGGTTATTAATGTTGTTCTCGGCCCAGTGTTTGATTACAATCTAGACGGCCACCAAGATGAAGTGACGCACGTGCTGTAAGTTTCTCCCTTGTGCACTATACTGTCACCATTATAAGTATACAGTATTCTGAATTCATTATAAGGTATATTGTATATTAATTGGAATTACTGTATACTGTTTATAAAGAACAAGGTATTTAAGTGTTACTACAAATATCAGAGGTATATACAGTAAAATGATTATTAATTTAGGTTTAGATATGAGAACATTATCATCACCACCATCATCTTACGGCCATTTCCCTTGTTTGAGTGAATCAGCTGTGAGAGATACAGTGAATGGAATAAAGTAGACAGATGTCACTCCACCTACTTATGCTTGCCCCCAGCATCCACCAACAGTAGGCAGGACCACAGTGTACAAAAAGCTGTAGTTCTCTTCCAATATGCAGAAGAGTTTTAACGTCAACAATGATGCGTTATAAAATGAATCTACTGGCGAGTTTCATCTGTGGTATTTAAATTAGTATGAATATAAATGTCTAAGGAGACGTGATAATCTACATAATGAGTTTGGAGGACGGAGATCGGGAAGAAAGACAAAGACGACTACTGTACTCCTGCGACAGGAATTTTTTAAGTTGTCAAAGAACCAGAAACACTTACCCCAAGATACCGACTGAATTTTTTACGAGATATGACAGACTTGCTCATCTCGACAGCCATAATTTGTGATTACAAATATCCTCTTGTTCTTTTTTTTAATTAATAATGAGATATTATTTAAATTCCTAAAATAAGGGGATACCAATATTTTATTACTAATGAGGTTTACTGAACTTGCTCAAGGAATGATGTACAGTAGATGTATATAACTAAACCTTCTTGTTATCTTCCAGAAATAACGTCAAGCCTCTGCTTCCTAGTGACTACTTCTTTGTGGTCACCTTATGTGGCAACACAACCTCAGCCTCCTGCTCAAGTGATCCACTCGATATCTTGGCGTTTGTTTTCCCCAACACGGAGTTCCCCGACAATTGCCTTATGGTGAGAGCTGAGAGGTTTTAGGTCTCTTTCATACAAGAGTTTTTGTTGTCACCCGGTTTAGAAATCAATGGACGTCCATGTGAAAGACTCACATTGAACTCCATTGATTTCTAAGTCATGCAACAAAAAAATACTCATGTGAAAGAGGCCTTGGTGTCTAACATACCAGTTGTCGGAGGTTCATGAATCGTGTTTATAATACAGTTTAATGATTCCCCGTATAGTCCTTCCAATTCTTTTAAAATGTTTTTCCCAATGATTTATATACAGCTACAGACAGACAGCAGGGTAACATATGCAGCACGTTCCTAATACAGTCTAACATGATAGGTTAGGTCAGGTATACAGCAGGGAAGTATATAAGAACACAGAACTCCCCCAGTCTCTCTCTCTCTCTTGAAGTTCTGGATCCTCTGGTAATTTCCTGGTCAAACAAAACAATAATACCAATTAATGATAAGATCTCCTCTACTCCTTCTATGGCATTCAGATTTCTTAAAAGGTTACCAAAAAAATTACAATAATTACCCATGTGCTTTGTGATCTGATTTTTACACAACACGGAAAAGTAAACAAAGTATTAAATTTTTACCATAAATCCAAGAAATTTATACCCTGTAGTGTCTTATAGCAAACTGAACCCTGTGTGGCTTCATCGCTTATGCTTGTGAATTTTAACCCTATCCGTTTTTCTGTGAATGAATTGCAGAGTGATGAGGAGTACCTGCAGTATCATTTGACCACGATAAGGGACGTGGAACTCCTGACGGGTCTTCGTTTCTTCAGGAATATGTATCTACCAGATGCCCTGAAACATAAGACGTATCAACCTCTTCACATCTGGCCTCTCTCGCCCTCTGGGCCCTCGCCAGGCCTCACGCTCAGCCAGAGGATAGGGAAATCAGAAGGTTCTCAATTTGTAAATACCAATAACACTTGAGAACTTGTGATGTCTCGTTCTTTACCCAATGTTCGTCAGATTTCTTTTCAATTTGTAAATAATGACAGTGGTTAATATACTTGTGGTGTGTTGTTCTTTAGCTGCAGAATTATGTGATAGATTAATATTTGTAAAAAAAAAATTATCGTGTAAATACCCCGTAGGTACTGACAAAGTGTGAATCTTGAATTAACTTTAGGCTGTTTAATTATGTATCGTATGTGATTCAGTTGCCTGATGTAAAATGTATACTCAGTTTCTTGACGGTTGACTAATGTGAAGAATATTCTGGTATAAAAACACACATGACAATATTGTGATACAGTATAGACTTTTGGTTGCATTTCGTCTCTTATTAAGATGATAGAAATTCCCCATAACACCACTGTTTTAACCTGTCTGTCCTAAGCTCATGTAAATATTTGCATCCCTGGCCAATGGATTCTTTCAAAAAGAAGTAAAAAAAAAATCATATTAATAATAACAATAATAATACATCTGTAATAATAATAATAATTTACCTGATATAATTAATTACTTATTATTAAAGAAAAATTGCGATGGTGACAACTGATAACATTATATGGCTGATGGCCACTTGAGGAAACTTGAAACAGGACTAAAAGGATAAAAAGAAGTTAGTGTTGAATAGTAGACAACTGACCTTTGACCTTTAGTAATGAGGACCACTATTAATCCTTGACCATTGACTTTTAGTAATAGGGGGTCAATATTAATCCCTGACCATTGACCTTTAGTAATGAGGACCACTATTAATCCTTGACCATTGACCTTTAGTACTAGGGGGTCAATATTAATCCCTGACCATTGACCTCACCACTGTAAGAAAAAATATGCCAACAGTTTCTAGTATTTGCGAGACAAACCTGTTGAACTGTTAGGACTTTGGTGTACAGTAATGTAAAGATGTGTTTTATGTTCCTGTATTTATAAATAAAATGGTGTAAATGTGATGTGTGTGTACTGTACATATGTAAAGATGTGCATGATGATAGGTTTAGTGCCAGCAGTAAATAATTAGGAAGCTTGGATTTTATTTTATTTTTCATGACAATGGTGATGTACTAGTTAGAGGTATGTACTACAGTATATAAACTATGATTTTTCTACTGTGTATGAGTCTACTCTAAGTGATGCATGGACAGACTTCAGCAGTAACAAAGCCACCTTCGTTCTGTTTCTTTTCGGAGAGACAGTATCAGGTGGAGAATTCTATGTGTACAAATATACACGGTGAAAATATTCAGACGTGAGCACAGGAAGGAGTTACAGCATTATGTGAGATGATGGCATTTATAAAGAGGATTATCCTCACCATAGTATTAAAAAAGGTAAACACATAAGATGGATAAATTAAACTGAGTAAATTGTAATAACTTGAATGTAAATTTCATTATTATGTTGATCTTCCTTCACTGGCGGATTTAAGTTAATACGTAAACTGTAAATTGAATCGAGTTGGGAAGTTTTGTACAAGGTTAGAGCTCCAACAGGGGGCTTTCAGTGTCACAATGATGTTGGCAGCTTGAAACTGTTGATAAATTTAACCCAACATTACCTAAACAGTATGTCCTTATTTCTGTATAAGAGGAAATTTAATTATACTGTACAATATAATAAAAATAATAGTTAAGAGGCGGGTTTTGTGGCAAGAAACCCACCAGGAATTCGTAGTTATTTATGTGAGTATTAATTGGTCGATGGGAACAGTGTGTCACGGTGGTTGCCACATACACACACGCGCACACATTCCATAGTTTGTACACATTGAGCCGTCATGACATTTAATGTATCTACTGATGTTGGTGATAAGACCCGTGTTTTACTCTGCAGTCTGACAGTGTTGGCTGGGTGTTATTACTACGGTCTGTGAAGTTGTCCCTCTTTGTAGATAATAAACTTAAGATCAATGATTATATCTTTACTTTTGAGCCTCTGGAGGATGATACTACACAACAGAAGAATATTGGTCATGATAACTTGTGATATCTCCGTTAGCCGGAACAATTGGTGCAGAGCACTTTCAGGAATGAGAGATTTCCGGGTAACGACTCTCAAAGCCGAAAAAAATAACTCGTCCTCGGAAATTTCTGGAAAATGTGCCCCTCGAAAAATCGTTCACAAAGCCGGAATTTTCCAGATAATTTTGGCTTTGGGAACGATTTTACGGGAAAATTTAAATTTTGGCTATCAGAGAGTTCCGGGTTTGAGGGATTCCGGCTAATGGATATATTACTAGTTCTTTACTGAAGTTTGTAGCCCAAAAAATATAAAATAAATCCTGTGTGGCTAAAAGGTTGTCAAGCTACACCATAGTTGTTCACTGTTATACTGACGGGGTAATATGAAAGCATGATTTGATGACACACACAATGTCATGTGCCAAATCTATTAATGAACACACATCTGCTCTGTCAGTTAAAACAGAAAAAGAACTTATGTATGTATGGGAATGATAAGAAAATGTACAAGACAAACTCTCATTCACGTCGCCACAGCTCAGGACAATTCACACAGAAGATACTGATAATCAAACCTGTATAAGATTTGACTTTAGGCTTATTTAAAATGTAATACTGATTACTATTTAAGGCATCATGTTCGAAAGTATTGTTCTGAACACACACATGGACAAAAAAACTTACTTGCTAAATTTCTCTCCTTGGATACAGTTTTACAAAGTCTGACTCACAGGTTCACGGATCACGAAGCTCCTTGAGAATGTGTGGAACTCCTGTCTCAGTGCTCCTAAGCGACCATAAATAATCATTTCTGAAGATACATAAGGCAATAAAAAAATTATACAGTACAGCATTACCATAGCATACTTGTAGCATTATGTAGACCCTATCTTATACCAGTAGATCCAAACATAACTCACTTACAAACCATTTATTTCAAGTTTTTCTGTCAACAGTACTGATTTAACTGTTGATATCTAGACAAAAAATTAAGAGTATTTATCTGGCAACTTATAATAATATGTTAACTTTACATAAATATACAATGACAGGGTAAACTGCCTGACAAGTACAGTAATGTTTGTACTTATGTAAAAAAAAATAAGTTTGGCCTCAGCTTGAGAATTCATACATTTATGTAGGAGGAGGGTTAGGTTAGGATAGGTAGGGTAAGAGAGGTTAGGGTCAGGTAGGATAGGATAGGTTAGGTTAGGCTAAGCTAGGCTAAATTAGGTTAGGGTAGGCTCGATTCTTATGCAGTCTTTTCGTTGGAGCAGTCATTCCCAGTCAGCCAGTCTTTAAATTCCTCCTGGGAGACTGAGGCATCCACTCCAGGTGACATTTCCAAACATTTATCCCTTGATCCACCCAATTTTACCAATCAAGATACATTTCCCTATAAAGTGGGACACTCGGCCGAGATATTTGTCAAGTACAGTATACTGTATATTATTAATTTAATCTCTTCTCTACTGAAAGTCTACCCAATGGATGGCTAGTTGGGGTAGTGGCTAGGGTGGTGGCTGAGGTAGTGGTGGGAGAAATGGAATGTAGTATTTGGTTGAGTGGTGACGAGGTGGCGGGTGAAGGCGTGGGTAGTGGTCATAATAGGAAGTGACTGAAGCATATAGAGGGTAGTTAGCACAAGGACATCAGGTACATCACGGTGGCATCATCTCACGTTACCTGTTGGTGTTGACCCTCACCCCCCCCCCCTTGTCGCCCCTCCCAGGTCACCTCGTGAGATATGCTCAGTAGTGGTCTTTGTGCCTGTTGCTCCCCCGCCTTTCGTGACCCTAGATACACCATTGTTCAGACCCCCCCACCTCGTTTCCCTGGACCATGGTTCATACACACACACACACCCTATGACCCTGGACCGTGGTTCATGTGGTGTAAACAGCTTCATGGTGAACCAAACAAAGCTTCTCTATACAGGAGCATAATTATCTATCTTTTATGGCCCGGTAATATAGCCTGGTCAGGAGACTCACAAGCGGCGGTGTTGTTGACTGCCACAAGCTATATGACTTTATGACGTTAGGAGTGATTATATGAACCAGGTGAAAGCTGTGGCGAGAAGTGGTATACACACAGAGGAGAGGACCATTATCACCACGTTTCAGGGTCATAATATCTTGTGGATTGTTGCCTTTCTGAGAGATTTTATATTCCGTGGGATACTGATGAAGTTTTAGGGTCAGTAAATTAGGCTTTTTCTATACCTTAAATCTTTCTCTTTGTTAATATGACAGTAAATTAGGCTTCACTGAATATAAACTAGTCATATATTTATATTGTAGTACAGTGGGTTAATATTCTATATATGAAACAGACATTGGTGATACGATTCGAGGACAACTGAACACCACACATGTATTTACTAACAAATTCCTAACATGAACTCTGAGATTTTAACAGACCAAACACTTTCTAATTAACAAAGTATTAAACATGATTGTGGTTAATTATAAGCTGTGGGGGTTAATCTTCATGTGATACCAAAGTTTGAATCTACAACCTGAAATTTATGAGAAAGCTTTCATGATGCCAAGTACAGTACATGTGTGTCTGACTGTGTGTGTGTGTGTGTCTGTCTGACTGTGTGTGTGTCTGACTGTGTGTGTGTGTGTGTGTGTGTCTGACTGTGTGTGTGTGTGTGTGTGTGTGTCTGTCTGTGTGTGTGTGTGTGTGTCTGTGTGTGTGTGTGTGTGTGTCTGTGTGTGTGTGTGTGTGTCTGACTGTGTGTGTGTGTGTGACTGTGTGTGTGTGTGTCTATGTGTGTGTGTGTGTGTGTGTGTGTGTGTGTGTCTGACTCTGTGTGTGTGTGTGTGTGTGACTCATGCCAAGGACGACCTGCAACACGTCACGTTACGTCATTATTATTATTATTATTATTATTATTATTATTATTATTATTATTATTATTATTATTATTATTATTATTATTATTGCATCATACCCTAACCATAAGCTACCATACAGGCAGATACGAGTTTTAATCGCTCTGACGGTGTAAGGATGAGACGGCGAATTACTTAACGACATAGAAATCTGTATAGGCAAATTAGTGAGCGTTAGATGATAATAACGTGAGAGAGAAGTTTATTGGGGATGGTGACGTCATGAAGCTAATATTAAAGGCCCGAATAGCGTGAAAAGCGGCAGTAAGCGCCACGACACAGGTGGGGGTGTACGTCCTCCCTCTCCCTACAGTAACTCTTTCTCGACTAAATTTACGCTGGAATACGAGAGAGAGGTGTGTGTAGAGACGCGCCCTACTATATACTTGACTGAAATACCCAAATACTCCTCTCAGTAAGGCCTGTCTGTAGATGTGTTAAATCATCGTATTCAAAGGGTTAAATTATAGTAATCAAGGGGTGAAATCATAGTAATCAAGGGGTGAAATCTTAGTACAGTATTCAAGGGGTTAAATCATAGTAATCAAGGGGTGAAATCATAGTACAGTATTCAAGGGGTTAAATCATAGTACAGTAATCAAGGGGTGAAATCATAGTACAGTAATCAAGGGGTTAAATCATAGTACAGTAATCAAGGGGTTAAATCATAGTACAGTATCTTAGTACAGTATTCAAGGGGTTAAATCATAGTAATCAAGGGGTGAAATCATAGTACAGTATTCAAGGGGTTAAATCATAGTACAGTAATCAAGGGGTGAAATCATAGTACAGTAATCAAGGGGTTAAATCATAGTACAGTAATCAAGGGGTTAAATCATAGTACAGTATTCAAATGGTTAAATTATCATAATCAACGGGTTAAATCACAATACTAACGGGTTCAAATCATCATTCTCAAGGGGTTACATCATCATACTAAAGGGGTTAAATCATCATACTCAAGGGTTCAAATCATCGTACTCAAAGGGTTAAATCATAAAAATCAAAGGGTTAGATCATTGTTCAAAAGGATAAATCACCATACTCAAGGGGTTAAGAAATTTATTATTTTCACCCGCCGAGGCACAGAAAGGAAGATTTTGGTATAATTTTTTGTCGTAAGTTATAAATAAATTCACCATCATAGTAATTTTTTTCCTGTTACGGGTCATTTTCAGAGGAACAGGAGTAACAGCAATTATGATAGGCGGTGACAGCAACACGTCCGCCATTAACAGTAAAAGGAAGTCAATGTTAAGTGTGGTATGTGGTGAAGATCCTGGCCTCAGCGTGTTACAGGGTCTTGGAGTCTCACTTAACTTAGACGAGAATCCTCCTGCTTACGACACAATGTATCCTGGATTAATGCCGCACTCCACTGAATTATTAACCCTTGGCGTAAATCAACCCACTGAACTATCCCGAGATAATGTATTCCGATGCACTGAACTATCCCGAGACACTGTAATTCAATCAACCGAACTAAATCCATGGGTAACATTAAATAAAGCGACTACTGAAAAATACCCAAATGACCTAGAAAATAAAGACACTACAAAACAAGAGGGAAGAGACCAAGAAAGAAATGAAAATCGTGATGAAAAAACGAAGAAATTGGAAGGGAAGATGAATTTAAGTAAGATTTCCAAAGGGACACGAGAGAGGTTAATAGTGCAGGCGACAGACCTCTCCCTTAGTGCCCGCGCTGCCCTCAGGTAACCCGCCTCCATTACTGTCTATATGTCTGTCTGTCTGGCGTTGTAGTAATGTCTAGTTAATCCTGTGTCTGTTTAGTAATGTGTCTAGAATATATGTCTGTTCAGTGTTCTGTCTGTACTTAGCTATTATTGTCGTTCTTCATGTTTTATTTTTTTCTATAGTGACGAGTGTTTGATGTCTAGATCCAAATGTCTGTGTAGTCATATGTCTGTTAACCTGTCTGTCTGTATCTGACTAATACTACATTTAATCTACACGAATCGTTTATCTATCAATTTCACTGTCTGTAGGTCTGATACCAACGACTTCCCACTATGTTCGTCTTTCTGTCAACAACCTTCAACGCTAAAAGAACGTGGGGTTTTCTTCCTACTACTGAGGGGTAAATTATAAAGTTAAATATAATGTTCATAAGATCTAAAGGTTATGAAGAATGGTGGGTTGTTAAGTGAAGAACAAGGTAGTTAAAGGTTGTGTCTCTCGTTTACAGGGATTTTTGCAGCAATACAACAGCTCACGGGTTTAATCACGTCACACAGGAAGATCTTCACGTCCTTCTTCGTCTGTTCTGGCTCGTCGTCACCCTCGTCAGGTGAGATACATTACAGGTAAGATACTAAAGGCGAGATAAATTACAGGTGAGACACACCCAAGGCGGTACACTCAAATTAAGTATACCTGTAGTCTTCACCTCCAATTAACCTATGAGGGATTATAACACCCCCCCCCCCTCTCCGCCAGCCTCGGTATCCTGCTGTCAGTGACCTACCAGGTGACCTACGCGGCTTTCGTCAGTAAGCGACCTCACACAGAAGTTACCTACCGCGACCAGAGCAGAGACGGGTTGCCACTTCCTGACATGACCATCTGCAGCCTCTCGCGGTTCTGGAAGTCGAAGCTCAAGGGTGAGGAAATGAGAGAGAGAGAGAGAGAGATGGGCGGGGTATGGGGGTCTGTGTGTGGATTTTGTGAGAAAGAGCGAATTTTGTGTGATTTGAAACCGAATTCTGTGTGATCTTGAGCGAAGTCCGTGTGATTTAGGGCGAATTCTGTGGTGAAGGAGAGAATGGAGAATGCAGGCATTACGTCCTCAGCTCACAACACCATAACAACCTCGTCTCATCTATGGACAGAACACGGGGTGGGGACTTCCTTGGCGTCATACCTCCTGGTGGCGGTGGGCGGCCCGGAGGTGATCAGCCACACCCTCAGGACAGACCCAAGGAGGATCAGGATGTTGAGGGATGACCTGAACACCTACCTGAAGGAGAACAACCTCACTCTCTCACAGATGATTACCATGTTGTCTCCTACGTATGTATTATATATCTCACACACACATCTCTACACACTCTCACATCTCTACACACACACTCACACATCTCTACACACTCACACACATCTCTACACACTCACACACATCTCTACACACTCACACATCTCTACACACTCACACACATCTCTACACACTCTCACACATCTCTACCACAACAATTAATCCCTGTATAAACATTGAGAGAATAATTCACCCATAAACACAAAGATTTATCAGGAAGTGACTAATATTCGTGTGTCTGTCAGATGTGAGGATGTAGTGCTGGCCTGTTTCACCGACACACAACAACTCTTCAGGTATGTTGCGTTTATCTATTTAAAGACATGTATGTATGCATGTATATATGTATCATTCTATGTATCTACGTATCTATCTCCCTATGTATGTATGTTGTCTCTTTTGTCTCCAGGAGTCAGTGTTGCGAGAAGGTGTTCACATCGACTATCACCACCATGGGGCTGTGTTATACCACGCTGAATCAAGAGATTAAGTACACACAAAACATCTCAGGTGTTATTGGTGGCTACAGGGTTATCTTCTCCACCAATTTACACGAGTATATGGGTTCGTGGCCCTTTCCTACATCTGTATAATGAATTAGTAATGCTAGTAGGGACATCTGTAGTACATCTGTCCTTGAGGGGGCAGTTGTAGCATTTGGCTCGACCTTTTGTGAATAATATTTTAAGCTAGTTTCCCCTTTTATGGTTATATGTTGCTATTCATTTCTATATATTTAGGAAGTTTATGGTACTATTATCCCATGACTGATAAATTCTTTATCTCTAAACTATAATTATATTTATTGTGTGTGTGTGTGTGTGTGTGTGTGTGTGTGTGTCTGTGTCGGTCCTCACAGAATACGACCCCAATGTAGTATCAACAATTTCCCTGGCCGAGGCGGGTATTCAGGTCTCTCTCTCCAACTTCGATCTGACCTCCACAGTAGCAGCTAACACCCACGTCATCCGCATAGCTCCCAGCACAGCAGCCTCCGTCGCTCTCTCCGTCACTAAGGTGGGTTACGGAGGGAGGGGAGGGGGGAGAGAAGGGTGAGGGACAGAGGAAAGAGGAAGGTAGGGGGGGGGGTAGGAAAGGTTGAAAAAATGTGTAATAACGAGGAAGTTGGTTTAACCCTTTGAAGACGATAACTTAAATCCTTTGAGACATTTAACCTCCTTTCTGAAGGGGTTAATCCGCTGTCTTCAAAGTGCCTAATCCACAGATCGACCACACTGAGAAATACCTTCAGGATTGGCCATGGGCGAGCGTACTACCCACCTGTGTACTGGAGTCTGGTTACCGTGCCTTGAGTGAGCAGCAGCAAGCATACACCCAGAACAATCTGTACTTCACCCTCCTCTACCGACACTGTCTCTTGGAAGTGGCCCAATGCTCTGCTGTCGCTGTCAGATTTACCAACGATACTACTGGTGAGGTTAGGTTAGATTAGGTTAGGTTTTACTAGGTTAGGTTAGTAATAGTGTGGTTAATCTTCAGGTGAAATAAGTTAGGGTAGTGGTTCTTTAAGATGATCCATAAATTCTAATACATAATTATTCTCTTATCTTATACTGTTATTCTCTCCTTCTCCCCTCCCTAGATGAGTGTTTACCTGATCAGATACTCTACTACTTGGGTGATAACAAGGCCGTCCAACAGTGTCTTCACCACAACCTAAAGATGTTTGACCTAAAGATGCGTGATAGTACGTTAATGATTGATCAATCCTATTTACGTCACTATTAGGACTTGCTTGATCGTCTTTTGTTTAGTTTATAGTCTTTGTTTGATTCTTTGTCACTTATAGGATTTGTGTGATCGTTTTTTGTTTTGTTTATAGGCCTTGCTTGATTCTTTTTGTCACTTATATGACATGCGTGATTGTCTTTTGTTTTGGTTAAGGGATTTGCTTGATCGTCTTTTGTGTTGTGTTTAGTTTATAGATCTATACTTAGAAGATTATTTTTATGATGACTTAGTGTGTTGTCGATGATGATGATGATAGTATTTGATGAATGATGATGACGATGATGATGATGATGACTAAAATATCACTACACAAACATTAAAGATTTATAATTAATGGAGAGTTTAGATACAGATAATTAACAATAATAACAAGATTTTTAACGTGTTGTATAGAAGTGAGGATATTTAGTGCATGGAGAGAGTAGCCACAGGTGTTGCGATGTGTTACAGGTGTTTAATAGTTGTGTTGCAGGTGTGTAACTCATTAGTATCTTGGTACAGGTGTGTATATATAACTTATGATGTGTTGCAGATGTGTAATAGTGGTGTTTGTGTTGCAGGTGTGATCCAAATGTGTTACACCACTACCATCACCCAACAATTGAGTTACACGTCACTCATCATGGATACATTGCGAGAGCTTCAGACCCTTAGCAGCCTCACCAAGTACGATACTGTGTTGTTTGGTGACCGATATTGTGTTGTTTGGTGACCGATACTGTGTTGTTTGGTGACCGATACTGTGTTGTTTGGTGACCGATACTGTGTTGTTTGGTGACCGATACTGTGTTGTTTGGTGACCAATATTATTGTTACAAAGATATGATTTAAATTTATACGCCATGTTCTTTCTCTCTCTCTTTTCTTTCCTGTTCTCTCTCGTTCACTTTCCCTCACCCATACGTTCACTGTCTCTCACCTATACGTTCTCTCCCACAGTGTTACGTTCTCCATGGTCAACATCTACTACTCCCAGCTGGGCTACACTGAATATTATGAGAGATACCCTACCTTCTCCAGTTGGTTCAGTGAGTCAGTTTATTTTACAAGTTGGTTTAGTGGGTTGGGTTAGAAATTAAGTTGAGACAGACAGACAGACAGGCAGATGGATTAGGCTCCATTTTGGTACGTTAATCTTAATATTCGCCAACATATGACATTAATATTCGCCAAAAATTAACTATCATATTCGCCAACATAATTATGACCTTAATATTCGCCCAACATTAACCTTAATATTCGCCAACAATTAACCTTAATATTTGCCAACATATGATCTTAATATTTGCCAACACATGACCTTAATATTCGCCAACAAATGACCTTAATATTCGCCAACATACGACCTTAATATTCGCCAACATACGACCATAATATTCGCCAACAGCTAACCTTAAATCTTCGTCCACAGGTGATCTCGGGGGCCAGATGGGGCTTTTCCTAGGGGCATCTTTCATCACCCTGGTGGAGCTTCTCTTCACCGTCTGCTACGTCGTGCGGCTGGTCGTGTACAAGGGGACCCGGGCGGTCTATCTCAAAGCCAAGTGCTGCTTTACTAGATTCAGGGACACCAACCCATCCACATAGTATATGTTCCTGCAGGCGAAAGATTTTTAGCATTATGGTCCGCTAGATGAAAGATCTTGTTACTCTTTATGCTCCTGTAGGCTAAAGATTTGTATCACTATGCTCCGCCAGACGAAAGATTTCTATCCTTATGTTGCACCAGAGGGATGATTTTTTACCTTTATGTTCCGCCAGACGAAGATTTTTATCCTTACGCTCCGCCAGACGAAAGAGTATTACGATTTGTGCTCCGCCAAGCGAGAAAACCCACTTCCAACTTCCTCTAGGCTTCACTCAGTTGTGCCTGTAAACAAAGGCCAGTTTGTGTTAAAATAAATCAAACAAAAAACGAACAAATATTTTTTCTGCCTTTAAAATTCACCAGAGAAAAATTTATTATTCAGAAGACAACAGAATCTACATCTCATGAACTTCCCAAATATTGTACTGTTAAAGAGTCGTAATTCAGTAATTTTAGTTAATATTCAGTTGCTTCTGGTCACTTAATGTGTTCTATATGTTTACGCTAAACACGACAAACTCTAATATTTATTTAATGTTACTGGTCAAAAAATACAATATTTGATTTTACTATAGCAAGTATCAACAACTTATGTATGTTCAGTGTCATTATTATTAGTGTGATTCGGATGCCGCTACACGCCACCAATCGTTTTTGTTTAGGTGTTGATGAACGAGTTTATTATAATAAAAATACATACATTTCGACAATGTACATTTTAACAATAAATTCCATGGGTAATATTTTGCTTAATTTCTCCCAGAACAAGATAATAATTAATTATTGGTTTAAAATTATCCAAGTCGAATTAGATGAGACGAAAACTCAGATGTACGGTAAGAATGAGTAATATTATTTAATAATCATTGAAATACAGAAACAAATCCATTGCACTGAAAATTTTATTGATCAAATTACTGTAATTACAAAAATGGCCACGGATCAGCAACTGTGGTTTTGACAATGCCTTGATTTTACTGAGAATTGTGAGGCCAAATGGTGACAAGATTCAGCAGCTGGACCAGATAATCCTGGAGAATTATTGCCATCCTGTTTACTTGTCTTCATAGTAGCCATGTCCCAAGACGAGGTGGCCCGGGTGGAAGAAGGTGGGGCGCACCGCGGCGGTCTGCACGAAAGGCCGCACCACAGGTCTTGAATACACGACGGGGCTCACTGCGGGGCGGTACCACAGCAGGTCGTCGTCGAAGTCCGCAGATCTCTTCTGGCGACTGGCGGATTCATCAGCTGGAGCGCTGCGCTTCTTGCGGTCGTAATGGTCGTCTTCGTCATCATGAGGCCACACGGGGTGATGCGGCACGACGACTGAATGCTGGACGACGTACCTGGGCTGAGTGTATTGTACGACGTGGGGCCGCACATACGGTATAGGGACGCTGTGCCAGGGATCAGGACTTGCAGATCTCCTACTGCGACCTGCCCCTGTCACCCCTGCCACCATCACCGCCACCAGCACCACTACCACCTGCGGGCGACAACAGCACAGAAAGTAGTGGAAATAATCAATCAGAGCAAGACAACTGGATGGTAAGAGTTAAATTCTCCTGAAAAAATAAACTGGACATCTTCGGGAGAACTAGTAAACGTCATTATTTTGTTGACGTTACCCGTAGTCGCTCACAGCTTGTATAAATGAACAAGTCGCTTACAGTACAGTAATATACGAGGGAAGATAGTCTCAAAAATTTCCTCACTGATGGACTAAAATGTCTCCCATCACCTTCAAAATAACAGAGATTAGCAGTTCTGTATAAAGGAATATTTCTTAACAAATTATATATATATATATATATATATATATATATATATATATATATATATATATATATATATATATATATATATATATATATATATATATATATATATATATATATATATATATATATATATATATATGCTGATAACCACAAGGAAAGAAGAAAACACAAAGTTCCCAAGCGCTTTCGTGTAATTCACATCTTCAGGGGGGTACAGACTAGTCTGTACTCACCTGAAAAACTGGTCCCTCACATATACTAGATACCTACAGTGACATATATATATATATATATATATATATATATATATATATATATATATATATATATATATATATATATATATATATATATATATACTGTATATATATATATATTTTTTTTTTTTACCGTAAACTTTGTCAAAATCCCTAAATATACAGACGAGTAGAAGGTTGACTGTGTGGGCATGTGTCGATAATCTCGGCCATAAAAAGACGCATTCACCCGGAGGAATTACATCAGATTAAAGTTTAAAGTAAATTACTGATATTTACCTTAAATATTACTCAAAGTTTAATCAATACAGTTTTGGTTTTAAGTCTAAAGTGACCAATACTGACTGCGGCGCCTCCTACTGAGCTCAACAGTTAGGCTAGGTTACGCCCCACAACTTATTTCACCTTAAGATTAACCATCCTAACCTAACCTAACCTAACCTAACCAATCCAGGAAACATTAAGGAGAGGGGAGGGATGAATCCCCAGGTAATTCAAAACAATTGTGGATGATACTACAGATTATAATGACGATATCTAGAAGTGTAAGTAACAAGAGTGCAGAGGTCTTATTGCAACTATATCTTGCGCTAGTCAGGCCGCACCTCCATTATGCGGTTCAGTTCTGGTGCCCCTATTATAGAATGGATATAAATTCACTAGAGTCGGTGCAGAGAAGAATGACAAAAATGATTCCGGGACTTAGAAACCTTCCATATCAGGATAGGTTAAAGAAACTTAACTTGCATTCCCTAGAAAGACGAAGAGTGCGGGGAGATATGATGGAAGTATTTAAGTGGGTGAAAGGAATCAATAAAGGGGATATAGATAATGTTCTTATAATATCCGAGCAGGATAGGACTCGGAGCAACGGATTCAAGTTGGATAAGTTTAGGTTTAGGAGGGAGATAGGAAGGAACTGGTTCACAAATAGGGTGGTGGACAAGTGGAACAAGCTTAGCAACTTTGTAGTAAGTGCTGGAACGCTGGAAAGTTTCAAAAGGAGGCTAGATAGATTCATGGATGATAGAGAGTGGTAGCAACTCTCGGCAGGAGCTGCCATGCACAGGCCAACCAGCCTATTGCAGACTCCTTATTTTCTTATGTTCTACTCTCAAGTGTACAGAGATACCAGCGTCGTCATGAGAACAATAAACGACATGGAGAAGGACAACACACTCACCAGAGAGTTCATGTTGGCGGGACGAGAAGAGCTGCGTTATGGCAAGTGAGCGCCGCCCACCCTTATATATACCCACCACTTCCTTCAACCGCCTCACGCCCCACAATACATACCCCCCCCAAAAAAAAAAAAAAATCCTTTCCTTAATATCAAAATTTTAGTTACAATTTCCCGGTGTTTGGGGGTATATATTTTTAACTATTTACTGTACTTTTCAATAAGGTTTGTTCGTTTTATATATATATATATATATAGCCTATATATATATAAATATATATTTTTTTTAGAGAGAGAATTGTATAAAATCGAAAAACACAAAATTATGGTTGAAAAATATATCCCCCGATGGGTACAGGATGTCGAACGTGACCTGCCAGGGTAATTTGGGTGATGATAAAGTTGCCTGCAGGTCGGTGACGAAATTTATCCTGCTGTAGAGGGAGGTGGTGGGAGATCTAGCTTCACTACCTGCCATCACTACCACCACTACTACTACCTGCCCTCACCACCACTACCTGCCCTTACTACCACCACTACCTGCCCTTACTACCACCACTACCTGCCCTTACTACCACCACTACCTGCCCTCAATACTACCAGCACTATTGGCCTGCCTGAACTACCACCAGGCCTCACCATTAATTTCACTATTTGCCTCACTACTAACTTCACCATTATCCTAATTTCCCACGCACTGTACCCCCATGCCCCTCATTTCCCCAACTCACGTATCCTGTTACCCCGCGGGGCACCTTAACACTGCCCCGCTACATACGCATATCTCATCTCGCCCCGTGACCTGACCTATACGCTAATCTTGACCTCTGACATCTCTCTCACCGTTCTTGCAAGTTGTTCTATCCTTGACCTCTCCTGTTTTGACGTCATAGCTCACTCACGCCCACGCTATAATGTCAGAGCTGCCTCACGCCCACTCTATGAAGGTTAGAGCTCCCCCAAGCCTACTCTCTAACGTCACAGCTCCCTCACGCCCACTTTGACCTCGCAGCTCCCTCACGCTCACTTTAACGTCACATTTCCCTCACGCTCACTTTAACGTCACATTTCCCTCACGCTCACTTTAACGTCACAGCTCCCTCACGCCCACTTTGACGTCACAGCTCTCTCACGCCCACTTTGACGCCACAGCTCCCTCACGCCCACTTTGACGTCACCGCTCCCTCACGCCCACTTTGACGTCACAGCTCCCTCACGCCCACTTTGACGTCACAGCTCCCTCACACCCACTTTGACGTCACAGCTCCCTCACACCCACTTTGACGTCACAGCTCCCTCACGCCCACACTCACCTGGCAGAAACGTGATATCCGCTGCCAGTACGAGGGACAAAAACTGGTGAGGAGGAAAACTGATGAGCGGAGCCAACCTGGTGCTTTGTGATGATGAATGGTGAGTGGTGATGATGGTGAGTGGTGATGATGGTGAGTGGTGATGATGGTGAGTGGTGGTGATGGTGAGTGGTGATGATGGTGAGTGGTGATGATGGTGAGTGGTGATGATGGTGAGTGGTGATGATGGTGAGTGGTGGTGATGGTGAGTGGTGATGATGGTGAGTGGTGGTGATGGTGAGTGGTGATGATGGTGAGTGGTGATGATGATGGTGGTGATGGTGAGCGGTGGTTGTGATGGTGTGGTGGTTGACTGCCATGGTGATTAAGCTGTGATAGTGATGGTGGCAGTGTGATGGTGACTGGTAATAGTGGTTGATGGTGAGATTATTGTGATCTAATACAGAACCCCCTACATTAGCGAGTACAGTACACCTATTCTACAGTATAGTAATACACTATACTTCGTACACATTATCTACCCTGACCTTCAAAATTAATAACAAAAATATATTCATAAGTCACTAACACATCAAATACATAAATAACAATATTGTGATTTTTTCAGACTTCACCTGAGTACACCCGTCCAGACCTCGTGGTGTAAAAATCTAAAGGAAATTCGACTTTATTCCCCCTTAGCATGCGGTCCAAAGTTACGTGATTTTGACAGAAAAACATGCATACCAGGTCTTGGGCTCCGAGTCAGGAGTTGGGGGATCATGCCATTAATTTATTTCAGAAACATATTCTCCTTCATCATACAAATCTAATGATACCCAATATGCACAAATTTTCGTACACATAGAGGGTGGTATAGACCGATCAACTTAAAAGTCAATTATCCCAAAAGTAACATTTGGTCCGTTCGCCCTTTTGGCCCCGGACGCCTCATATTTCTTTCATTAAATTAACAAATCCAGCACAAGTGTTATAGGTAACTAAGACAATATATATTTATATTAAGAATTTTAATATCACCGTCATATCAGGTATTAATGGTGGTTCTCAATAGGTGTGGTCATTAGTGTTACCTATATACACCTGGATGCAATGTAATGAAAAAAATATGGGGGAAATGTGTAGTATACAGTTGTGGTGGTCAAGTTACTGTGAAAAAGTGAGTTTCATTTGTTTGGTTGTTTATTTTTTGTCGTCATCGATATCGTCAACTTCAAGGTGGCTGACGTCGACGAGGCCGTATGGAGTGGCAACCAAATCATCATCGTCGTCAATTTCGCGAAGGATCCCGTATGGAGTGGCTATCAGATCATCATCGTCATTTTCGTGAAGGATCCCGTATGGAGTGGCTACCAGGTCATCGTCATCATCGTCATTTTCGTGAAGGATCCCGTATGGAGTGGCAACCAGATCATCGTCGTCTAATTCCTGGTTGACGATGATTGCTGGGGATGAGACGATGGCAGTGCGTGGCTGAGAGTAAACAGACACGGCGGCGATGGATGGAACGGCGGCAGGGACACTGTACTGAAGGACCGGGGCGGCATTCTGAACGAAGGGAACGGTAGCGCGAGCGGTAGAATGGATGTAGGTGGTGGCAGCAGCAGGGTAGTTGGCGGCAGCTACGGGGTAGGTGGAGAAGGTGGCAGCTGCAGCAGGATAGGTGGCGGCAGCGGCGGGGTAGGTGGAGAAGGTGGCAGCTGCAGCAGGATAGGTGGCGGCAGCGGCGGGGTAGGAAGTATAGGTGGTAGGAGAGCCAAGTACGGGGAAAGAATAGGGCAGCAGTATCTTAGTGTCGGCGGCCACAGAGCCCAACACAGCGAGGAGGAACATAACCTGAGAGTAAACAATGATATCTTTAGCTGTTGGTCATATTCTAGGGATGATGATGATGTCAACACAAGCGTCTGTAAGTAACTATGTCTTGAGAAGTATAAATAACAAGGAACATATAGATGTTTGTAGTGTAAAAAGTAACAAAGAACGGAGATATTTCTAACAGGAACGGCAAGTGTCACATGTAATCAGTCTGTGAACATAACTCAGCAAAATGTCTGCATGTGAACTTAAATACATATAACAGACAATACAGACTTCCTGAACTAAATTATCGTTCCTATTGACTCACTATCAACGCTATACATAAACCAATACAGTGATACAATTCATACAACATACACAGCCTCTACAAGTACTAGGCAAGATAAAGTAATGCATATTTGAGTAAATAGCATTAATTTATAGTTATACGTGTTAAATAAATACTAATATACTAATTTGCTGTTACATACTAAAGAAATTATACACGTTAAACAGTTATACAATATACTGTATACACAAATTCATGATATACCATTAAAAATACTGTACCACTTTATATCTACATGTTACACTAGAGCCATCGATATATAACAACATTTCACAGGATTTAACAGAATCTAGCACCGTATTTTCCCACCTAGAACAGCACAGACCACGACACTTACCTGGATCTTCATCTTGGCAGACCTTCAGTAGACGACGATCTAGAACAAGACGCCTCCCCCTTTATATACATCGTCCCTGACCCTCCTCTACAGGACACACCCCCTCTACCTCATCTTCCCCTCCTTTTCATAACTACTACCATAACATCTTCCCCAGCAACAGGTTATAGCCACACCCTTTCCTCTCTATACTCGACCGTCCTCACCCAAACCACTTTTTGTCGTGAATTCATTTGTCCTTTTTTTTTAACGAGTTCGGTGCAATCTTCACTATTTTAAATGTATCTTTTACTTGTTTGTTATGTATATATGTGAGGTAGATTGTATATTTGTATAATAATTTATTTTGTTGAAGATTGGTTTTAAATGGTTTGTATTTGTGATGTGTTTATATAGTATCTAGTTTGGTTTGTGTATGGGTAGAAATGGTGATCACGTGTTCGTTTACGTAAGCATAACACCTGCCCTCACGTGCACACACACACACATACACGATACGACAGACACAGTCATACATGCAAAAGATACACACAAGCAAAGTCAGACACACACACACACCGCATTTCCTAAAAGACTATATCAATATACCTTACCTTCCCTCCCCCCCTGAAAAAAAAGACGGCCCACCCAATCCAGATAGAGACAAGACAGTGGTATCCATCGGTTCGTTTCAGATCTCCAAGGTCGCCCTCCTCTGCCTGGACACGAGACCTTGAAAAACCTCACCTCGAGACCCGGCTACGTGTAATTATTAATAACACCATCTGCATCTCAGGTGTAATTGAATCTATACCAATGTAGTGTACTCCTCAGGGTAATGTTGAAGTGTAGTGGGTATGTTTTGGGTGTGTGGTTGTGGTGTAGGGATAGAGGTAGGGTGTAGGAGTAGGATGTATCAGGGTTTTGGGCAGGTTTGGGTGTGGTGCATCCTCAGCTGCCCTACCCTATCTGCCTACAGACAAATACCTGAGGGATGGACAGATGTCCTTCTGTCTGTGTGTGTTTGTATGTGTGCGCGCAAGTTTGTATGTGTTTGTAAACGTTTGTATGTGTGCCAGTTTGTGCTTGTAAGCGTGTTTATATGTGCGTGTACATGAGTTATCAAATGCGTCACTTAACCACTTAACTTGAGGTAGACGAACTCACTCACTCGTTAAAAACACCAGTCTTCACTACATCCGCCATACATAAATTAAGTAAAATAGTTTCGCTTTTCTTAAGTTTTCAAAATCGTTCTATTATATAATTTCTCTCATTTGTGATATTTTAAGTTTTCAAAAGAACAATTATTGTTCTAATCTGTTTTCCTCTCGGTATTCTTTGTGCAGTTAACGTCAGTCAATTGTTTTCGCAGTGACAACGAACGAGCGAGGCCTTAAGGGTGTCCAATGTCTACCCATCTTTCATTTAACCCTATTATAAACTTAATATTTCTTTGTCCTATGCCAACCGGGTGCCGTTAACTAAGACAATGTACTTTTATTACCGAAGGTCAAAGTCTCCCGCTATGGTCAAGGCTTGCACAGTGACCCTACACAGCCTCTTCACCTCTTCACACACACACGATGCTATTCCCGTTACCTTATACTCATCCTTGAAGAATAAGCAAGAAATTACGATAAAAAATGACACGCGGAAAAAAGTTGTATCTCTTGTCACCATCGAAGACGTAATCAACATTATATCACCATGAATGACAGTAATTACAGATACCTCCCTCCTTCCTTCCCTGGGCATGGTACTACGTCACCAGTATATCTTATCGCACCAGCAGCCCTTCCCCGCTCCACCATCACGATACATCCCTCCCAAGTCCTTCCCGACACACACACACACACACCCACATCCTGGTTACCTACCGGGAAACCTTGCACGCACGCTGATTTCGTATACCCGCCCAGAGCTTGCAACATTCCCGGGAACTCTGAATTCACCGCCTTGAAAGAGAATCAGTGTGCTTGTGACACCCTCCCACCTATCCCCCCACCCCCGAAGGATCTATACTTGCATCATCCAGAGGAAGGTCCTACTTGCATCACTCATGAGACCTCCTGCTGTTGCTCCTACTGGCTTCTTCTGCTTGATTTGCTCCTTGCATCCTCCTGCTTGCGTCAACCCAGAGGTGGGGACTTCTTGCATCACCCAGGGATTCTCTGCTTCCAATTATTCGAAAATGTTACTTAACCAAAGACTACTTGATCAAAACTGCTACTTAACCAATACTGCTACTTAACCAAAACTGCAACTTAAACAATACTGCTACTTAATGAATACTGCTACTTAATGAATACTATTTATCCAAAACTGCTACTTAATGAATACTACTATACCAAAGACTGCTACTTATCCGAAACTACTATTCCTTAACCAAAACTGCCACTGAACTAAAACCGCTATTTAACCAAAGGTGTCACTTAACCCGCACTGCTACTTAACCAAAACTGTCATTTATCCAAAAACTACACCTTAACCTAAACTGCTAATGATCTAAAACTGCTTCTTGATCAAAACAGCCACTTAATCAGATATTACTCAATCATCACACTTACCCTGTACATAACCCCCAAAAAACAAATGAAGATAGCCAACACAAATTATCCTCACACCACCATCCACACAGGCGAATTACATCATTCATGGCATGTCTTTAAGTTTCTCAATACCCATACTCTATATACAGGCCCACACTACCTTAATGCAGTTTTATAATTTACCACATTTTGTCGGACTGCAAGACCTTACACTGAATCATGACTACCAACTTTGTGGACACTTTTTGTGCTCTCATGACAACCTCTCAGCCATGGGACACGAAGTCGACTGCCGATCGGTGCTCTTGCTCCCACTTAATCAATGACCCTCTGTTGTCACTCTTGATGCACCCAGCTATTCCATAACCACAACAAATGTCCCATATTAAAAGTTCATCAACTAATTACAATGTAAAACCCGACCATCTATCCACCAGATTTCGTGTAACCAGTAACTACAGCACCAGCTACAGGCACAGTTCTTGAAAAAAGGATAAGAAAATACAGTGAGGTGGACCAAGTACATTATTTGTGAACATTTGATAACATATAAATACAATAATAATAAATGACAGTAAACCCTAAACAGAATGCATTTCCATATTAAAGGGAAATTGTTGTCAATGTCTCATAACATTTTGAAATATTCTGAATCAGATAATCCACTCCTGTTGTGTACTGTTCAATGGAAAGGCACCAAATAAATTACTCTATATAAATAAATAAATCACAAGTATATCACACACACACATACACAATATGAAGGAGTGTACTGTACAAAGAGGCGTGTTTGCAATATGAATCACAAGTGAATATTGCTGGCAGGGATTCAAAGTACATTACGGTCGGCAGGAAAGGGAATCTCTCTCTCTCTCAGGCACACATACATGCACCTGTATTTACACACACACACACACACAAAAGCACCAGTTCTTGAATCTAAATTTTGACATACGGTATCTATCAAATTAAGTTCATTATAAGTATGTATGTTGCAACAATGAGGTTACTGCATAGATCAACAGTTGCAGGAATAACAAAGTAATATTCGGAATGGTTAAAAAGGAACAGAGTTAGCAGGTTACTTTTTAGAATATTTCTCCAATTCAGAATATATAGTAATGTACTGTATTATGAATTACTATAGTTGTATTAGATTTCAAAACCCCCAAAATATTCCAAATTAAGATGACTTCCCAAACCAGGAATACTGAATTGTGGAGGAGTTACTGGCATTATTATTTAAAACATACTATCCTCATACTGCAGTGCTGTACTTTAATATTCAGTTATAATGACAATGGTATTTGCTACGTGAAGTTCCTACTAACCAGCACTTTGCTTTTTGATTAAGTTAGTCCCAATACAGTACCTGTTTTACATCTATTGTGTCATATACAAAATCTTGGTCCCTAAGAAGGCTGAAGTGCCATTTGATGTGAAGTGGACAGCATCATCCTTTAGACTCAGTACAATCTTGTCATTTAGTTCTTCGGTCCCTTGAAGAGGATTAGCCAGATTTGGCATCATCCGTGGTCCCAGAACCGGGTCACTGTATCTGTGAAAAGTGACTTTCATGGTTGGCTTCACAAAGCGCTCTTGTCTTCTCAGACGAGCCAACACAGAAGCGACGGTGTCTTTCTCATAGATAGGAAGCTGACATATGAATAGTCCCGTATGTGGCTGAGGATTGACTAAGGACAAGATAACACAAGGTGCACTAGTGAAGGTCAGGTAAGGCTCCCCTGGGACTACTTCCTCCTGAGTGCGTTCATTGTCACATTCCTCCGTCCAACACATCTGAAGGCCTTCAAGGTCCAGAGTGCCTCGCAGGTAGTCAATATTCTCTTCCAGAATGCTTCGTTCATTGAAATCTACAGTGTCCTTTAGTGCTGTTTCTCCTACAGTGTTCAACCTCTCTCTAACTGCTTGAGCAAAGGGCATGACTTTCTTCATGTACTTCTTGAGTGATGGGTTACTTCCCAGTGCTTTTGATAACTCCTTGTTATCTGGGAGACAATTACCATTAGCTTTATACAAATCGTGCATTGTAGTTAAGATAATACTTTGCCACTTAGGGAAAGTCTTTGCTATCCATACAGTCCCATGTGACGGTGCTTGAGGTGTGGCTGCAGTTTCACCCTTTTTAGATTTGGCAGGAGACATGTGGGCTTTAAGGCGTAGTCGAAAACGATGAGATGCATCAGCAAGATACTCTGAAGCTTTCACAAGTGCAAGATCTGGTTCCTCAGTTGTTGGCCAACTTGCATGAAGAATAGATTTTGAGTTACCAAGAAGTTTTTGCCAAATGTAGTCACATGCATGAGGGCAGATGGGAGCAAGCAGGAGCACCTGTGTAGTTAGATATCGACTCACAAGGTCCCAGTGTAGACCCGCCTGAACTTGTGCCCGCTCACGATATTGATGGAACAAGTTATTGTACTCAAAGAAACCAGTACGCAGAGCTTCCTTGAACATCAGTGATCTGTAGTTCTCATCAGTTTCCCTTATCTTCAAGTTCATCTCGGACGTAAACATCTTGTCGTTAATGGTGGAGGCGGGACCAGTACGCATTGAACTTTTTTCTGCAAGGAGTTCTTTGGTTAATTCAACAAATGTCCACAGTCTGAGTACACCCGAGTCAGCTACCGGAGTTTCAAAGTTAGCATCCTCTACAGAGTCTCCTGCATTAGCTAGTGCTAGACGCATACCATCAGCTCCATAACTGTCGAGAGCATCAGTTAGAGTCATGAAATTTCCAGTTGATTTTGACATTTTCTCAGAGTTAAGTAGCAGATGACCATTGGCACGAATACCTTGAGGCCATCTATCAGGCTTATTCGACCAGATTGCTGTGTGGTTATACAAGAAATAAGTTAAATGATTAGGAACTAGATCTTTTCCCGAAGTTCTTAAGTCAACGGGATACCAATAGCCAAATTCCTGTCGCATTTTCTGAAGGGCTTCCTTCTTGATGGAGGACTCTGGTGCCTTATCTGTCAGTTGGAACACATAGTCCCACACTTCTGGAGTCATCTGCTCTGGTTTAATACCGTACTCACCCTGAACAGAACCATATACATCTGAATGTAGAATGTGACAAACAGTATAGTAGGCCATATAAATGGTCGAGTCGGAAAGGGATTCAATCAGCCATTTCTCATCCCAAGGGAGACGAGTTCCGAGGCCGTAAGTGCGAGAACAAGCGTGACCTTTCAGCCACTCAAGAGTAGCTTCAAAGTTGCGCCGCACTTCCTCGTGGTATGTTTCCAGCGCATCGAGGTTCTTCTGAGTCTCAGCTCTCCACGCTGCTTCACCATAGTCCAGGTACCACTGATCACACAGAGCCACGACACACTCATCACCAGACCGGGATATAATCTGCTTCTCTGGTTCCTGGTATATCAGAGCTTCCTTTGCCTTCACCAGCATCTCCTGTATTTGCTTTTTGATATCTTGTACCTTCTTTCCTCTTAGTTCCCCGACCAGAAGAGTTCCTTCATAAAACCCACGGAGATAAACCTTTTCCTTTGCTTCGAGTAACTTGTCGCGATCGTTCTGAGATTTTATTCCCATCATCTGGCAGATTGTCGGAGCACTCAGGGAACCATACTCAGGTACATCAATAATTGGGACAGGATCAAAATTCACCATTTCTTCAGTGATGCCATATTTCTCCCTCAGTGCTGGCTTATTCTTGAGATCCACAAGTGCTGCAAAATCATCTGGGGCATCTGATGGCACTGAGGTCACAACGCCAGTACCTTTTTCTTCCTTTACTGTCAGCATAGGTAGAGTGTAGATAGTCTTGTAGCTGGTAAGAGGTGCACTAAGTTTAGTTCCCATTAGTTCGTGACCCTTGAGTTCTAAGAGTGGCTTCACCTCATTCTCTACACTCAACATCCCTTGGAAAGCCATATTCCTCGCCGCTCTGCGTGTACACACGACTACCTCGCCGTCCTTGGTCTCTAGGGCAATATATGTCAAGTCAGGTCCGAGCCAACAGTTTGTCTGCCCGTACATAGTTTCAGGTCGTAGTGTTGCAGCTATGAGGAACACCGGCTTTGGGGCCAACACTGCCAGCTTTCCTTTGAGTTCCTGCACTCGCATCTTGATGAGGGTGTACTCCTGTGGGCCGACACCTTCTCCCGATGACCGATCATGATCCATACAGGGCTGGCCATCCTTTGGAGAATATATAGTGTACCTGTAGAGAAAACAAACATCTTTCAGTATTGTGGATGTCACATTAATGCCTATAATATTTCTTTTGAGTAAAAATAAAGGGGTGAGACAACATTTCCACTAGAGGTTCAATCTCACTATCTTATAGCCTTCACCACACAACTGATCTATAGCGGAAAAATATAAAATCCTTCATGTCCCAATAACACAAATAGTCTACGAGAACTACTTGTAACTGAGAGCTACCAGCTACAAGCCCTAATGGAACCCAATTTCCATACACATCTGGTATCCCAAGAGGTGACTGAATTCACCCAACAACACCCTTTAAGATATCTGAGAATCTTAAAAAAAAAAAATTCTAAACCTGGAAATAAAAAGTTTACCCCTAACAATAGCAGATTCCCCTCCAGCCTCCCTACCTCACTCACTGGAGGACTCGGTCGACCTGTTCAAATCTCAATAGAATATGATTCCCAGAAGCCTCAAGTCCTTTTACATCAAAACAGAAGCATCCTACACCAAGAAACACAACAGCCCAAACACAATGAAGCAAGTATTATCACTGTAATATGTGAAGTTATTTTTAAGCCTTTATGAAAATTTACCTCATAAGCATTATGTTAAAAAGTTCATATTAATCTACTGGTACAAGTATGAGCACAATGTTGGCTGTGTAGAAAATGTTTTAATCACTTTTTTTTACTGTTGTACATCATCTCTTATTTCAACTTAACATTAATCTAACCTAACTCCCCCTAGATAGCATTAGGGTATCTAATCAAGTGACATAATCTGGGGGATAATCTTCAGGCAATTCAGAAAAGGTATTACCTGTATACAATAAAGTCAATTAAGCCACATCAACAGAAACGACGACAAAAGTTCCATCTCACCTTTTCCCAAACTGGATTTTCCCCTTTTCCCTGAGACGGAGGAACTGCCAACGAACGAAGGAGTCATAATAAGGATTACGGTCGGTGGTGATGAACGATCGTCTCCAGTCTGTGTGGAGGCCGACCCTCTTGAGGTCCTCCACACAGTGCGGGGGGAAATACTTGAGCCAGTAATCCTCGTTGGTGAACTTCTCAATCTCCTTATCGTCAATACCCAGACTCTGCATAATCTGCCACTGGTATTTGACTCCTCCTGTCTTGGCAACGGCTTTGCTCTGGAGATTGTAAGAAAGCAAGGTTGATGAACGACTGACTTAAAGAATTCAAAGCAAAAAATTGAAGAACATAGCATTGAATTCAAAGCAGAAAATGAAGAAAACCGCATCATTAGTCAATTACAGCTACTTGATTACCCAAATTTCCATACAATAGGCAAAAAGTAATTGTATAGTCAAAGAAATACGAGCATATACAATGAAATCTTTCACCCACCACAGTCAAACATGTCAGGGGCCCAGACTATACATTTCCAACCCAACTACTGTACACACTCTGGACTGAAACTGGAGTCAAATGTGAGATATTGCTTAGAGACAATATGTGGAGAAACTGCTGGAAATAGTCCCTTTTTTTTGTTTATAAAGAGTATAAAGTTTGTGTTGGTGTATGGTGGTGGGAAGAGACGAACTGGTATGAAGTAAATACATATGTAGGGTGCCCCAGAAAATTGTCCCTGCCACACTACCTGCCTGCTCCCTGAGGCACTGTGAATTGGAGGGAGGGAGGGAGCAGGCAGGGAGAGAGAAAGGCAGGCAGGGAGAGAGAAAGGCAGGCAGAGACATTTTCCTGAGAGACCCTATATACAGTTCAGTTGCCACGGTTCTTAAATATTTTCATAAGAGAGTTTTAAGAGCGGTGAGACCAAGATCATTTCCCACGAGGAGGATAGTTTGCTAATGAGCGCTATGGCATGTATATGGGTTAGGCAAGGTTAGCTGCTATATGAAGATGATACCACTATAGTTGGCACACAGTTCAGAAGAAAAGTTGCAAGTGTTGGTGCTTGTTTATGGAAGAAATAGAGGATGAAAAATGTGAATGCTAATGTTAACCTAACCTAACCCAATCTAACCTTATGCTAACTCTAACAGTAACCTAATCTATCCTGACATAATCTGACACTAACCTAATCCAATATAACCTTACACTAACCTGACCTAATATAACCTTACACTAACTTAACCTAACTCCCCCAGAGAGTTAAGCTGCATAATCATCAGGTAAAATAAAAAGTAGGGAGGAGGAGATGGCATTATAGTAATAATCTCAAGAGGTCTTATTTTAATCCCACCCTACAACACCTTCCCTATTTACTAGCGATACTAAACTAAGACATCCACAACTGCCTCCTCTACTTGCTGCTAATATCTTGGTGCCTTGCTTCTTACCTTCTTCCCCTTGGACTTATCTTGGATGGTCACCTCCTTAAGCTGGGCGACCTCCATGCTGTCGTCGTCGTCTGGGAAGTTGGGCGGGCAGCCGTAGTCCGCAACCTCCCTCTTCAGCTTATCTGCACTGGCCTTTATTGGCATGCCTGAAGATAAAGAGGTAGATAGCATAAGTGTGACAAAAATGTAAAAAGCCTCATTAGTTATTTTTTGGGGAGATGGTGTTCCTGTATGTAAATTAACCATCAAGAGATTTAATGAAGTCATCTGTATCCAAAATTAACGTTCATTAGAATTAGCGAGTTACCTAACTGAATTGGCAACGAATCGTTATGTAAAGGTTAACTCGAGGTTTACCGTTTCATGTACAAGAGCTAATGATTGAGTTTTGACGCTAGAGAGCTGTTCGTTGACACATCTATACTATTGTTCATCACTGAGTTTTCAATCTCCAGGTCTCAGTCTAGGAGAAAATAAATCCCATTGTTGCAAAAAAATTTAAACACATGATCCACAATCTTACAGCTATAGTTGGTCCCAAAAGATCCTCAACAATAAACCAAGACAAGGAAGAGAGATAAACCAGGACAAGGAACAGAGATAAACCAGGACAAGGAACAGAGATAAACCAGGACAAGGAACAGAGATAAACCAGGACAAGGAACAGAGATAAACCAGGACAAGGAACAGAGAGATAAACCAGGACAAGGAATCACTTCCTAATCAAGTTACTGGAAATTTTTTTGTTAAATTAAGTCTGGTTAGTAGAGAAGTCACTGAGTCACTGTACTGTATATCACCAGCATACATACCTGTACAATGTAAGCCAAAGGGAAACAGGCATCTCTTCCCCTTCAGGCGCTGGTATCCAACGGCAAACTGCAAACAAAATAAATGTCAAAAGGCGCAAGGTTCTATATTTAAATACGTTCTAAATACCAGGCGGTACAGTACACTAAAACATTATAGTAAACTGTAGATTTTCTATCCTCCATCATCCACTTAAGTAGCAACTGTAACACCACTTGGATGTCAACCATAATACTGAACTCTCAAATTACAAATAAAGTTGCTCTGCTTATGGGAACATGATATACCTGCTATCTGTATATTAAAATGCTAACTTTTTCTTTTGCACAAGTTTACACGGCATAACCCACGGCATCCCAGGGACCATAAAACAACAAAAGTAATGTAACCTACAACCAGAAGATTACCACAGACACAAAATATAAGTTATTGCACAAACAGGTAAAGTAAAATTATGAGACAGATAAGAAAAATAATGAACAGAACCAAACTATTATATATTACCAAGAGTTAGTTTCTTCTCCCTAACTAATGCAACTCCTTTTCATTAGACAGTTTCAACTTCATGCACAGGAGAATCACATCTTTCATCTTTGTAGAACATTAAAATACTACAACCAAACTACTGTACCAAGACTGCCTCCCTCAAACTGCATTTTTTCTTCAAACACTGTACAGTACACAGGGTAATGAACGTATCTATCCAGACTTTATGCGTGACATTATGACACAACGGACGTAGGATTCTGACAACCCTACCGAGACGACACGAGTCATAATGATCATTCTAAAATTCGTCGGAACCATCTGGACATATACAGTATTGGTGTTTATTAAATCAAGAAATTCTTTATGACGGTTTAACTAAATATTTCAGTTAATACAAAGTAAACCGAACTCTTTATTACTTATGATACAGTATAAGGCACTGTATTATGAGCGCTGTACCCTTAATTTCTTCCATCACTACAGTATTAAAATTTTCTGTTGACTGCAAATGTTTATAGGTTCCCCAGCAAAATATAGAGATATTTGTGCAGAACTGAATATAGAAGAGTGATGGAGATAAGAATGGCTGTGTTATAAACTGTCCAGGTACAGTATTAATGTTCTTAGTTACTGTAGTTTGAACTGAGAAAGGTACAGTACAGTACTTAATTTATCCACTTTACATTACAGTATTTCTTATCATTTACCATTTACACTTTCACCATGCATAAACATCCAAAAGGGGCTGAGACGACAAAAACTTTATGCATGACAGATACAACAAGTTGATGGAGGTACAGTTGTGTTTACTACATGATACAGTATTAATTCTTGGCTCGACTCAACACTCAGGATGATAATGATGGAATATTCAATGCTAATCGTTCACATTTGGCATAAAACAAACACATTTCATCACTAGACATCTCAATATACCACAGTACTTTAACATTAAGTGGGTGAAGGGAAATAATAAAAGCCATAAGGAGTCATCATTATAAGTCAATGTGTATGTTCCTATAATTAAGCCATACACTGCTATCACACACATATATATCTTACAATCTATATACCCTACCTTGGCAAACATATATAGTACAGTCTATACCATCCCTTGCTAGAACACATATACACCCTAGAATCTATACTATATGCCAGCCCATACAGTACACACAAACTATGGTTCTCACTTCACATTTACTGAGAGAGAAGGTGTGCCCTAAGTGTAGTCGACCATTCATGTAAGGGTAAGGAAAGGTCACCATGAACTTCTCCTTCCTCCCCTCGCCTTCCTGAGCCGGGGCATCTTCCTCAAAGACCTTTTCCTCTTCCCACTGTTGCTGGATTGATGCCTCGATGGCCAGTAAATCTTCTAGCTTTTTACGAGACATCTGGAAAAGAATATCACGAGTTATAGTGCTTAAATTAATGAAAGATAACAATTATATATCTTTTTTCATTTATCTTTTTATTCTGCTTGTGTTAGAATGAGAAAATTTCATCAAACGAAAGTCATACAGTCCATCTACAATACACCCTAAGTTAAGACAATACAGGTAATCACATTCATTTCTCGTTAATACAGTACGGGGGGAGGGGGGTTACTGAAATAAATAAATGTCTTGTTCATGTTAAATAAATACAGTATCTAGCTATCTTCAATGACACGACATGTAAAGGGAGTACAGTACAGTACTCTCAATTAAAAACCATAATCAACTACACTGACTAGTCTTTTCTGTTTAATTAGGAGAATAATACTAGAATGTCACAGAGAAATGAATTATTATAAGGTTTAGAGAAATAACATCATCGCTGCTAACTCCAAGGAAATAAAACCGGAGAGCTTATGTAGCCCCCCCCCCCCATACTTAAAAAAGTTTGGGTAAATTTGCATTGTCACACTGTTCTCTGTTAGAAAGTCAAAAATATATTTTTCTAGTGTATTTGTGTGTTTAGACTGAATATGACCTTCATTTCTGGCGGAAATTAGCCGTTTTTATACAAAAAATTTCGTTGGACGTTTTCCGAAAAAAATCATGGCAAAATACACCAAAAAACACTAGAAAACCAAAAACCAAACCTAACCTAACCTAACTGACTCTCACCATATGATGGAATCACCTATTTCTTACCTTATTGCCCTGGTTCTTGTTCGTCGTTGCATTCTGGGATTCTTACACAACGCCACATATGTTGGTCTTTGCAATATTTACATTCCGTCTTGCTCTTAGTACACTTTACTGAGGTTGGAAGAACACCATACGATCGAAAAAATGCTATAGTTTCTACGTTTTCTTTTCCCCCAAAACTCGCAATCAGCTCCATATACTTTAAGTGACACCCATTGCAGACTTCCATGGTCGGAACTGAACTTCAATTTCAAAATATGAGACCCAAAATAAAACTCGAATTTGATTGGGCCAAATATACTGCGAATTAAACCCAAAATCATTGCAATTAGCAAAAACGCTTTAGATTGGCTGCGTGACGTAAACGGGAACGCATGCGCATGATGATTTATGAAGGAGACACGCAGTGTTGGAGGTGAGGCAGGCGATAATGGAGGAAAATAGAGAAAATTTTGGATATGTTATCTCCGTTATTATACATTTCCGCCGGTAATGTAATAGATGAAAATTATCTTATTAGACGTCTTATTCGAATATGACAATAGATTAGTGGTAGGAATGAATGGTGTGTAAACGCAATAATACCAAAGTTTGCTTTTAAGGGAAGATTTTAATAGACCTTTTCCCAAATATTTACAGTCGGGGTCAAAAGTCTTGAACACTTAGTAATATCTGTCATCTACTTGTGAGTTATATGATTGGGATACACTAATAACACTACTGGTCATCACATATTATACCTCAACCACAAAATGGGATAAAACTCTCCTTAATACCTCAGATCTTCGGATATTTACAGACCAAATACTGTCAAGTGTTCAAGACTATTAACTCCGACTGTACGTAACTCCTTCACTTTGGGGACGCCACTTTTAATGCTTTAAATCGTTAACAGCAGACGATTTTATTCAACACACAGACCTACGTACACAAGGGGTCTAAAGATGGGATTGTACGGCAAGTAAAGTACCAGATACTATTCATAAAATGAGCCTAAGTAACCTACCTAACCTAACCTAACCTAACCTAACCTAACCTAACCTAACCTAACCTAACCTAACCTAACCTAACCTAACCTAACCTAACCTAACCAAAATTTTAGATTCACCAAAACATTATTACTACCTGTATATATGATTTAGGTTAGGATAGGTTACAACTGCTGATCCAATGAGTGACCAGGCTGTTACCGTTACAATACTATGAGTGACCAGACTGTTACCGTTACAATACTATGAGTGACCAGACTGTTACCGTTACAATACTATGAGTGACCAGACTGTTACAGGTTAGAGCACAAGGTAACCAAAATTCTCTTCAATTAAACTTCGGCTTGAGTACACCTGGCAATAAAATAAATCGTCTCTGTTATGCACTTGATTATACATTACCTCCTCCGTGTGTGGCTGAAGATATCGTGGCTCCTGTTGTAGATATTAGAATAAAGCTAAGGGAGGATTAACAGCTGTCTGATGTAAGCTCCTGGCAGACGCCGTCATAACACACTGTCTCAACACATGTATCCGTTACACTCTTCGGCTTAATATCTTACACATTATATCCCTAATAACTTAAAATAATACTCTATTAACAAAAAACTAATGTATGTAAATTTAATATAATATTATATACATTTTTATTACTCTTTTATTAATTTTAGTTTGTGATTAACGTTGGGTTTAGACGACTCATTAAGCGTTGCGAATGCATGTGTTCCAAGTCTTCCAATGTGCTAAAAACGTGCTCAGTATATATATAGGAAAGAAATTTTTAGCAACGAAATACAAAAAAATTATAATATTCTATTTTTATTTTGCCAGAACAAACAAAAAACATATGTAAATTACTGTAACAAGGAAGAAGCTTGTGACAGCACCTGAACACGTGCCAGCTAAGTCTACTCTACATTTCCTCCGAAGTTTTAATTATTTACCTGTCGACCATATTCTTGTTGCTAATATGTAATGAAATTATTTACATAAAACTACTTAATGCATCTGTTTAAATAGATTAGTACTGATTTAGAACTGTATTCCAAATCTCTGCAATGAGGTCGGTGTTATGATTAATGCCAAAATATATCTAGTTTTCGATATTTTGTTTGTGGAAGTAGTGTTTGGTCTCTGAGAATGATTGATTAGACCAGGAACTTGTAATTCAGGTATTTAATCTTTACTAGTCACCCTTCAAGTGATATCACCCATTATCATTTACTAATTGGTCTTGAGAATAGGGATGCGGTTACTGAGTGGTTAAAACTCTTTACTCTTGTTCAAAGAGGTCATTGATTTGATCCCAACTCCTCCAGTCGACCCAGCCGTAAATGGGTACCCAATATAACTGGGGAAGTGAAATCTGTAGAGTTCAGTGCTGGCCATAGCTGCCTCCTGTGTACTGAGGACTGAGTATATAGTGTGTAATTGTATCTGTGGTGTCCCTTCTAAGCAAATCATGCATACGGTATTTTCTTTTCACCTTTTTCATGGTAAAGGCACTTGTAGAAAGGGTGAAACGGTTTGAAGTTCTGTAGTTTTTACCAGTGGTCCCTTGTCAGATCCATTTACCAATCTTCCATAGTTTCGTTTAACTCTGAATTTCTCCACCATTGGGCCCTGTTCAGCCCACTTCGAGAGCTCAAACATAATTTCTAGTGTTCTGTGATTAATTCCTTTAAATAAGCAATTATTTTCTTGTTTTTGTTTGATCTTATTATTAGCCAATACTCACGTACTTTAAAATAATCTCACAGTAATTATTCAGCTATTCTCTGCTTACCTACCTGTAATAAACAATAATTTTGTGTTTTCCCTATTTAAAACCAATATTTACTTACTATATACTTCACATTAACATAAATAGGTTATTACTTTAATATATTTGTATTTATTTACCTTTAAGAAGTAATAAATTCCTTTTTCTTATATTTTTAAAACTAATGCTAACCTCTGCAGCAGACATATTGACGCAACATGAGAATGGAGAATCACCTCAACGTTATTTTATTGGTTTAAAATATTTCTGATCTATCTTCCACATTCCTCTTTCCCAAACTAGAAGAATGGTTAGGATATAGGAATCATGTGTAGATGTTTGTAGGCATAAGGGAGAAATTGGTTTTGTGCGGTCATTCACGAGTTAAGTTGCACTGTGCCGGTTGTCCAAGACTCCAAGAGGGATGATGCATTAAGTCCTGCTCACATACACTTCTTTCCATTTATATTGTTCCTTCATTTATATCTTATTTATTTTACTTTACCTTTATTTACTTATGTTATTCTTGCTCTTTGTTTGTTATTTATCTGCAGTGTGTGTGTGTGTGTGTGTGTGGGGTCAAGTACACTGGTTCGCCGCTGTTTATTGAAGCTGTTACATCAATGGGAGAGGTCACATAAAGCAACCTTATACACAAGGTTAGCGTTACATTAGGTGCCAGACTCATCTCATGAGCCAAATACTCAACGCTCTCAGCCCACCAAGATGAAATATCCACACGTCTCAAAACAATCTGTACCTACACAAAACTCATATATATGGCCTATAAAAAAACGGCACACATTATGAAAATATATCTACAGCTCTCACGGGTACAAGATGACAGTAAGATGTATGAAATCATGGACTTGTAGCTAAATACATACCCGTCTCCGCCGTCCAACCCTCACCTATCGCTGCCTTCCCCCTTTAGCACAGCAACAGCTTATGTGGACATACGATCACTGCCTTCATCATTAACTTTGTAAGCATGTCTAGGTCAAGTAGGGGACTCTTCACTCTGAAGTTAGTGAAATTGTCTCCAGCTTAGATTCCAGTGTAAATAGTCTTGTTTTCTTTGCTTAGTGAATTTTGCTAAGTAATGTTGTCGAGCGGTTATTATACTGGGATGACAGTATCTTGGTCCTGGATTCAATTTAAGGAGATAATATGTGGGTGAGATTCGGTGTGTCGGTACCAGTTGTATAACCATATCGCCACCACCAGCTTGTCGTAAAAACCCAACTGACACATATACAGACCACAGGGAGAGAGAGACCTATCCTATCTAAACCTGAGTGCGATATGTGACGCCAGAGCCAGATTGCTGACGTCCTGGGTGGCTGAGTACAGATCATAATGCCAAGGCAAACAAATATGTGTGCCTTCTTTAGCCCAGCAGAATGTAAAAATAAAGCTAGAAGAATGTATGTAAGAATGTACACATGAACATTTGGACTGCGAGAGAAAGACCACTTGATATTGTAAACACCACATGTGGATTGAGTTGGGGACAGTCGTTCAGCGCACATATGATATCCTCAGCGCCCTGATGCAGTGCTCCCACACAACGCTGTTATGTGGCTTCAGTAATGGCCCAGATACTCGAGAACAGTCCCTCTAACCTACTCATACTGTTAACATCATTGATCCCTTGAAAGATATCCCCAAAAAACTATCAAGTTGCACAAAAATAAGATAGCATTCTTCATAAGACAAGTAACATTCAACGCGTGGTCTGGGTAAAGACAACATACAACACAGTTTGTTATGGCAAGCTCGAGTCTCACCTCCCACACATTTCATCATAAATTCTCTAAAAACTGACACTTCGACACTTTAATATTTTATTAGGGTCTTCAATGATCGTCTCTATTTTAAAACATGAAAATCAGTTTAAGACAATGTTGAGGAATAAAGAGGAGGAACTATAGTTATATTTTCACTTTTGAATAGTCTGTACTAGTGAAATTCTCTTATATTTCCTTTCATATACATTACAACCGTTACTATCAACACACATCCCTTCCTGACAAATAATTGAGTAACCTCTTTTTCCTGATATCTACAGTACCCATAACACTGTAAATAGTCTATGTACAAGTATATACTGTGTAAGTGTAAATAAGAACTTAAAAAAAATTACGCTCGTTTTCTTTTCATTCAAGACTGCAATCTCTCAAATGGCCAACATAATTTTTTTTTCATTCTTGTCGTAGAAAGTTAATCCAAGCTACAACACGACCTAACAGAACATTCCAAATACAAAATGAATCTTTGTGTTTTCCAAAGGTACCCAACACCAACAGGTTTACAATAACACTTAATAACGAGTCGTCAGGTTGAAGGTAAGATCAGTGCCAGTTATAAGGTGAGTAAATGAAATTGTAGGAAAAATATATAAAAAAAGGATGTATTTACTTATGGTGAATCACACTTATGGCTCTGTTGTAGTTACTTCAGGTCACAGCATCACTTAACACCTGTTCATAGTACCACTTAACATCTGTACAAATCGCCACTTAATTGTAAAAACACCACTTACCACACTCCCCACAGTAAAACTTAACTGTACACAGCAACACTGAATACACTCTACAGCACACACTCTCCACAACACCACCCACTTAACTGTACACACCACCACTTAACACCTGTACACACCACCATTTAGTACACTCTCCTCACAGTACCATTTAAACTGTACACAGCACCACTTAACACACTCTCTCCACACCACTTAACAAACACCTGTACACCTCCACTTAACTGTACATACCACCATTTAACACACCCTCCACAGCACCACTTAACACAGGGTAATAATATTAGTTTTTAACCACTCAATACTGTACCACATGTTTTATATTATCTTAAATGTCAAATTATGTGGTAAATATGACTAAGCTAACACCGAATATTGTTGATGCGTCACCACGGTTATAGAAACTGTCTCAAAATATGTAAGCAGTACTTAACAGATTTTCGTGGCGACCGTGTGACTTGCTTGTATTAAAACAGCAACAGTAAGTTCGTTTGTACATATTTTTTGAGACTAAAAACAGTGAATGGTAAATATATCACTAGGGATCTATCTAACACCTTGACGTCTCTTATAAAGTTTATGTAGTTAACAAAAAGAATAGTATTTGTAATCAACATTTTTGAACACTTTATCTTTAATTAATTCGGTATTAAATAATAATTATATCTTTTTTTTTTTAACGCGTGGAAGTAAAATTCAGGTTTTTGTTTCCATTAATATTTTTACGTTATCTGTTTGACACATTGACAAGTGGCTCTGCAGTTCTTGAAGCGCTCAACTCCCTGTTTGGTCTTGGTGTTACAGAGCCACTCATGCCACTCCTGGTCTAGTGTAGCGCAGTTGATCCACAGGTCAGAGTAGCCACACGCGTTGGTACACAAGTTACAGCGCCTCCTATGGCAGACTGATCTACAAGACCCAGGGCACATACTACAAGTCTGACCTTCCGTGTATGGTCGACTCAGCCTCCCTGGATCATTACCTCTGTAGAAGATAAGATCAAGGTTTTATTGATATTACACAAACATAACGCTAACCTAAACCTCCCAGGTAGAGTTAAAGGTGTTTAACCAGTGATATAAGGTGGAATAAATCTTCAGGTGACTTAATGGTTATGTCATAAAAAAAAGTCATTAACTAATTGTATTCATAATATACCCATGAAAATTACTTAACTGACATTATGTACAGACGACTTGTATAAATTAGTGCAGGAACTCAACAAGAAGGGAGACTCACGCAGGGCAGTAGTTACAAACATATCTGAAGAAGGTCTCCCCGCCGGTGGTCGAGCACTGAGCAAACCCACAACCAAGCTGATGAGAGTTGTACCAAGCCATCTGTGTGTAAGCCACCACTAAGGTCGCGTTGTTTATGTCGCGGCCATAGCGCCAGTGACGCCGTCCACTCCACCAACGGGCTAGCACTTGACTCCTGCGGGCGGCAACACCGTCACATCAATACATGTACTTATATATACGTTAACTCAGAAGATGGTGATGTTATCTTAATTTCCTATGCGTTGTAGCCTAACCTAACCTAGCTTGCCATTACTTATTAACCAAGCCTAATCTAACCTAACCAACTTACATGTATTTATGTACACATGTATGTATGTATAAACACCCACCACCTCTTCTTGGTACCGGACACTAGGACGTTCTGACCACAAGCCCCGTAGCGTAAGGTCCACCGAACACTAGGGTGGTCTTGGTGTGGCCGGTGATCACACTGCTCCGCCCACGCCTGTGCTTGTTCCGCCGCTGTGTCATACCATCTCTGTCAACACAACAACATTACCCACTGTACTCTCCTTACATAGATAGATAGTTAGTTAGATATTAAGTAAATTCCTCATACAAGTTTATATTTATCCAGCGTGTTTAAATATACAATTATTATTATTAGTAGTAGTAGTAGTAATAGCAGCAGTAATAATAGTAGTAGTAGTAATAGCAACAGTAGTAAAAATAGGCCAGTTAAGGTAGACTAGACACTAATTACTACCATATCCTCAGGTGTACAGGAACATGAGCAGGTGTACTTACCATAGCGAGCATGTCAGCGGCAGGAGGGAGCACCTTGGAACGGAGGAGGTTATGTTGCATCAATAAGTGTCGCCTGACCTTGGCTCTCCTTGGGTCAACTGTCCTGTACTCCTGACCTGCTGGCCATCCACCTCCTGTAAACACAAACAAACATTCAGTACACCTGTGTTTATATATAACCCAACAATACAGGTAACGTAAACAGCAATAATTAATGAGGTTTACCTGTTATTTACATCATTGACGTCACCACACACCTGCCATGAATACTAATTAGCCTCACCTGGTCTTCCAATATACCTTTTATCTTACCTTTGTGATAATTAGTATTTTTTATTAGCCTACAAGCGAACACGCCCTCATGAACACGTTAATAATTATACTAAGTCAATAATGCATGGCAGAGTCAACTTAATATGCATAGTTGTACTGATAGGAGCCGTTGATTATTAAGGTTAGGTTTGGTTTATTTGTGTATTGTGTACGTAAGTTGTGTGTGTGTGTGTGTGTGTGTGTGTGTGGATATTAGTGCAAGTCGGTCATCGTACTCAAGAGGGTTAAGTTATCGTACTCAAGTGATTAAGGTGTCATACTATTGGGGTCGTACTCAGAGGGAATCGTATTCAAGGGATCGTGCTCAAGGGGAATCGTATTGGAGGATATTTGTTTTGATATTGAAACAGTTTATTTAGCCAGAACACAGATACAGAGTCGAAAAATATATTAACATGACTGAGCCAGTGAGAGCCTGAGCCCTCTCTTGTAGGCACCTGATATATACTGTACATTTATCTCATGGAAATGTTAGGTAACACTTAGTATCAACTGGAATAGTACACATAACATGGTGGTAATAAGAACATATCAGTATGTTACCACGCTTATCACTTCGATATTTATTTTATTTATTTTTTACATTATATTACAAGTATATACATACTTTACAGTGGAGTTGATATACATACATATGATAAGGGAGGGAAGCAGTACAGCATGGGTTGTATTAAGGCGGAACAAGAGGACAGAGCTGTCAGTATCATGTCTAGTCGGCAAATATATTTATTGCAATGATAATTTATATCTATCTACTGTACGTGATAATTTCTGATACTGGGGTGGTACTCAGTATGTTCCAGCCAATCAATCATACACAATTGCTGTTAAAACTATCATAATTTATCATTCATGTCTCCTGCCATCAATATCACACACTACAGCATTCTCACAACCCTCCGAAACACTGTTTAGTTTTTCCCGTTTTTATTGCTGTCGGAAAACACTATGACTGCTGCTGGAAATTGTGTGTGTGTGTGTGTGTGTGTGTCTGTCTGTCTGTCTGTCTGTCTGTCTGTCTGTCTCTCTCTCTCATGGACGGGGCAGTAGATACAGGTGTGTGTGTGTGTGTGTGTAAGACGCTGTGACCACATTAAGTGTTGTAGCCACCTGTGTGCTGGGCAGGCATCACGCCACCAGCTGCCACCACCTGTTCCAGATCACACACACTGCATCCTTCACTGCCCCGTCCATGAGAGACAGACAGACAGACAGATAGACAGACAGTACAGTACGGTACGGTGGTGGGGTAAAACACAGGCTGGAGCTACAGTGTTTGTGTGGACTAGAGACCATCACCACACACGTCGAAGAGTTCCAATAATAAATCACTCCATCTTCAGGTCGTGTTTTCCCGCCCATATATAGCAGTCTTCTACAACACCTCCCTCTACAGTCATCTATATATCGTTGGTATAACTCGCAACAACCTAACTTAACTTAATCTAACCTTACCTAACTTAACTTAATCTAACCTTACCTAACTTAACTTAATCTAACCTAACTTAACTTAATCTAACCTAACTTAACTTAATCTAACCTAACCTAATTTAACTTAATCTAACCTAACGTAACCATCCCCCAACCTAACCTGACCTGCCGTAAAGGACACCCTAACCCATCACCATCGCTTGTGTAGGTCACATTTGAAGGTCATCCTCTTGGGTAAAGGTTGGGTCACACTATACAACCGTTCCTCAAAAGGTCACATGGCTTGAAAAGGTCAGGAAGGATATTGTAGGAGAGAGAGAGAGAGAGAGAGAGGTTCTTCTTCTTCTTGCAGTCAAAACACACACACACACACACACACACACACACACACACACACAACCAATCAAATGACAATACCACATCTACCTGGGGTTAAATATTACAAGTTTGGATACAGTTCCCTTCACTCGTGAGTTTACAGGGAGTTGTCAGGTTTGGTGCAATGTGGCAGCGCCGAGTTTGTTTACATTCGACAGAAGGAAACTCACAGTAGTAAACAAACTAAAGAATTAACATAAAACAATATTAAAACAAATATCTCGAAGATAATGATTTGTGGAATGTTTATATGACGAGCCCCTGTAAACGCACTAGTGAAGGGGGCTGTACATACACGGTGATATAAAGAGTTACTCCCAACACGTAGAGGGACTAGGTTAGGTTAGGTAGGGGTAGGTTAGGTTAGGTTAGGTTAGGTTAGGTTAGGTAGGGGTAGGGCAGGTTAGGTTAGGTAGGGGTAGGTTAGGTTAGGTTAGGTTATTTGCAACATGTATACTAACTAGGTAGGGGTAGGTGGTGGTGTTCCCAAATGTGGCTTGTTGTCACCATCTCTGTTTGTCATTTTTTTTCGAAGACATTCCTGGTGTGTGTGTGTAAGACCGTGACCTTTCAACACCTGCTACTGTCTGCTACTGATTCACGGACCGTTTTAACTCCCAGACTACTCAACCACGGACCGTTTTGTCTTTATAAGTACGAAGAACTCGGGGAACTTATCACAACACTACACTAAACTACACAAACACTACACAAACACAACACAAACACTACACTACACAAACACAACACAAACACTACACTACACAAACACTACACAAACACTACACAAACACCACATCACACAAACACAACACAAACACAACACTACACTAAACTACACAAACACAACACAAAACACAACACTACACAAACACAACACAAAACACTACACTACACAAACACAACAGCAAACACTACACAACACAAACACTACACTACACAAACACAACACAAACACTAAGCACTCACACAAAACACAACACAAACACTACACTACACAAACACTACACAAACACAACACAAACACTACACTACACAAACACAACACAAACACTACACTACACAAACACAACACAAACACTACACAAACATAACACTACACAAACATAACACTACACGCCTTCCTTACTAATCACTGAACTTAGTAACCAAATCTCAAGTCCTCCCGTTTCACCCCGTATCACCCCCGTGTCTTCCCGCACCCGACCTAAGCTTCTACACCATCCTCGACACCGGCTCCTACTACCACCTGAGATCCCTAGCCCGAGAATTGCTGTTCGACACCACAACCGCATCCAGCCCATACGTGCACGAACTGATCGCTATAAGAACAGCCCAGTCCCAACCATTGTAAAAATTATCAATAACTTGTAATAAACCAGTGTATTCACTCCCAGTAAACACTACTCCTTGCACTGTCACTATGTTGAAATGAACTGTAGTTTGAGCTTTTCCCCATCTAGTTATTATATGTCTTATTTATATCACTTAAGTTACTTGTATATTATTTGTAATTCGTAACCCATTCCCCAATTATGTAACTGTATATTTTCAGCCTTCTGCCTGCCAAGCTCTTTCAATAAACCGTTAATTATTATTATTATTATTATTATTATTATTATTATTATTATTATTATTGTTGTTGTTGTTATAGCGTGGCCTAAGGGTACTGTACACCTCGTCATCAGCGTGTTTATTCCTGTGTTCTGACGCTTCACTAACACCTGCCCCCAGCCAGTCGTCTACTAGGTCTTGTTGACACTCCGTAAAGGTGGAATAATTGAGTCTGACACTTGTATGACACATGTATGGTAGGTATGACAATTGTATGACACATGTATGGTAGGTATGACACTTGTATGACACCTTAATATATATGACGGATCTCTCTCTCTCTCTCTCTCTCTCTCTATCTCTCTCTCTCTCTCACTCACTCTCAGTAGCAACATGCGTCGCTAACAAGCACGTGCATATCAATTTGCATAATTTGTATACATGACTGTGGCGTCCTCGTCCGTCCACACACACACACACACACACACACACACACACACAAGAGTTAACTTGTATAGAATGTGTCACTGAAGAAGTAAATTTTTCTCAATCAGTGAGTGTGTGAGGTGAGTAACGCAGTGAGTAACGCAGTGAGTAACGCAGTGAGAGTGAGTAACGCAGTGAGAGTGAGTAACGCAGTGAGTTGAGTGTGTATGTGAAGTAACAGTAGGTCACACCCCCCCTCCCCCACACACACACACACGATACTTGGCATATATTTACACAATGGTTATCGACCTGCTGACCTGTACGAGCCTGCCATAGTCATCAACAACCTTCACTACCACCACCACTACCAGCACATCACCTAACCACCTAACCTAATCTAACCAAACGGGACAAAAAAAAATACCTGATCCAATCATTATTTTTATTGCAAAGTTGAAGACACATCTGCAGACCCAAGAAGGCACACGTTGCATTGTTGATTACTCGTATCACATGAAGATTAGCCATCCGCCGTAATGTTGTGTGTGGTTAGGTTAGGTTAGGTCAGGTTGGGTTGGTTTAGTTAGGTTTGGTTAGGTCAGGTCAGGTCTTGTTTGGTTAGGTTAGGTTAATAATTATTAATATAAACCAAGTGTCAACAAAGGTATCCACCATGCTGGCAACCTGCAAACCATCCAACCTGCTAACCATACCAACCTGCTAACCATACCAACCTGCGAACCATGCCCACCTGCTAACCATACCAACCTGCTAACCATACCAACCTGCTAACCATACCAACCTGCTAACAATACCCACCTGCTAACCATGCCAACCTGCTAACCATACCAACCTGCTAACCATACCAACCTGCTAACCATGCCAACCTATTAACCATACCAACCTGCTAACAATACCAACCTGCTAACCATACCAACCTGCTAACCATACCAACCTGCTAACAATACCCACCTGCTAACAATACCCACCTGCTAACCATGCCAACCTG